TAACAAATTCATTGGCTACTGTTTGTACCATACTTCATTAACCCTGAAACTATCAAGTAGTGGTCAACTTTATAACTTCAGGAACCTATTGAAACATTCATGTTGAGGCACTTCTACTGAAGCACATGAGTTTCTTTCCAGCTAGAATAACAAACATAACACAACCCATGTCTAACATAGAACAAAGCTCCTAGAGTCCACATGGACCACGAACAAAAATATGAGACTCTTCAACTATAAAGGGAGATCATTCTCCCACAAATAAACTTCTTCGAATCTAGGATTCACTAGTCCATTATTAGAACTCACTAATAATGATTATGGTTAAATCTTTGTATCATGTAAACTCTACATTATTAATGAGAACTCCTCTATTTTCGTAGATGTAGCCCAACTTAGAGTGAATCAAGTATACCTTGTGTTTGTTTCCCTATCTTTTATTTTTTTATATATTATCTTCCCTTGGTGGCTGAAGCAACTTGGCAAAGGTCACAACTTGATACTTTACATTGTTCCAAAATCAATCCAATTTTGTACATCAACAACTACAATTTTGTGATGCATTTAGATTAGATGATGGGTTCTGCTCCCACCTGAATGTCTGCAGGTTCCAACAACAAGGGACTCAAAGTTGACATTCCAGATTCCCTGCTTTTTACATCATGATATATTAAATTTCCAGCAAAAGGCTTCGCCTTTGTCTACATTCATGAAGTAAATCATGAAGATTCGAATATGTTGGGTTGGCGAGGAAGTTGCAGAGCTGTTATTTGGTGACTCATGTTATTTAAACCTAATTGTTGTTTTCTTTCACATAACCACGTATTTGTGTTTGCCATTGTGCTTTGCTTGTTAAACACACAAATAAAACAATATTCATATACATTAACTAACAATTAGTAGACCTGTTATGGGAAAGAACGTTAAACACGTGTTGGCATTCCAGTCTCCTTTTTCCGTTCAGGCCTATTTAAAAGAGAATCTATCATATTGCTTAATTTCTTATTAATTAGTGTTATCCGTGTCGATCATTTGGTACAGGAATAATATATAATCAATTTTGAAAATGAGTCATGGACTTGGTGGTAGTTAACTGCAAGATCAAAGAACAACAACGATAACAGGACAGTGCGATTTCCTACTTTAATTTATTTATGGGAGTTTTAACAAAAAGTCCGCAGTACTGTTTACTTTAATGAAAAACCACATTTTTACACTAAAAAGTCAATCCTGATACTATTCACTTTACCCTTTATTTTGTCCTTATCATTAAAACTCAAAGTTTTCAAGCCCTTTACATTAGTTTCATTTTATTTATTTGGGGTTTTAACACAACAACAAAAGGTCAGTGCGAGTTCCTACTTTTATTTATTTATTTTGGATTTTTTTCACAAATGGTTCCTAAAATTGATCCGAACCATTAAGATGGTCTCTGAAATTGAAAATCGATCAATATAATCTTTGAAAATAAGTGTCACAAATCAATGTGCTCATTCCGTCACAATTCTATGAAAAATTAGGTTACATGCTAATGTGGCGCAGAAATGGATCCCACAACATTTATGAGTTTTTATCACAAATAGTCCTTAAAATTGACCTACATTATCAAGATGGTACCTGAAATTGAAAATCGATCAATGTAGGCCTTGAAAATAAGTGTTGGTAATCAATATAGTACGTCCATCACAATTCTGCAAAAAAAAAAAAAAAATTGTTATGTGCTTATATGGGTTTAATAATTTAACAATTAATTAAGAAAGTTGTCAAAATACCTTTTACACAATGAGATTATCTCAAGGCAGAGCTCACTGTGTCACCAAGATCATCGGGGGAGCGCTCAACAAGCTTTCCAAGATTAAGGTTGTGAGGATGTCGATCATCCAAATATTAACGGTGATGCCACAGAAGTCGTCGCCAATCCAAGCCGTCACCAAAGATGGTCTCGCTCCTAGTCCAATTCAGTGAAAGGTGTTGAAGGGTGTAAAGATGGGTGTTTTGAGATTTTTTCTTTTAGAGAAGAGACAGCAAAAGCTACCATATATGGAGGTAGACGAGTGTGGATTGGGATCTGAGGTGATTACGGGGACTGATTTTTTGGATTGACAACTTTTTAATTAATTCTTAAATTATTAAACCTATTTCTTATTTATTTTTAATTTAATTAGACTTGTGGGATCCATTTATGTGCCACATCAGCACATAACAAAATTTTTGACACAATTGTGTCGGAAGGACCACATTGATGTAAGGCTGGGTTCGGTTCCATTCAATTCGGTTTTTGGCCTGAGACCGAAAACCAAACCAAAGTTACTATTTAGTTCGGTTCGGTTCAATTTTTTGTCGATTTTTTTCAATTTGGTTTTTGTTCAGTTTGGTTCGGTTTTTTTTATTTTTAAATAATACAAATAATGCCAAATACAATGAAAGTTAAAGAAACTGGAAGAAAAACAAATCTTTAGCGAAAAATAAAACACTTCAAATCCATTCAAATCTAACAAAATTTTTAAAATCAAAGGGACCAAATTCCAGATCAATAAAATTGCAGACCCAAGTCACTCATATCTATCAAAATTAAGCCATATCAAATAATAAAATTGACAAGAATTATATACAATTTACACCACACTTAGTCGAATCTTCCAGATCAAAACTCAGTGACCGAGTAGAACAAGTCCATCAGAACAGTTGCGATGAAAGGTGGCTAGATCTGGTGCATGTCAACAATGGCGAGCGAGAACCACCTTGTTGTCGACGATGGCGGAAGCCATGGCTGACTTCGGCGGAGGTATGAGTTGGACAGTGGGATAAAGAGAGATGCAGCAAGGGATAAAATAAGAAAGGGAAAGAAATGGTGAGAGGGAGATGAGAGAACAAAAGAAGAAAAAAGCAAGAGAGAAATGGGAGAGAGGAAGGTGGCAGCATGAGAGGAATAAAAAAAGAAAAAATGGAGAGAAGGAACACGGATGAGGAGAAGAAAAGAAGGAATAATTAGTATGCTAGGGTTTCTAACTTTCTAATAGGAAGCCTAATATTCTATTTGGGCTTGAAGGGTTTAAAGTTTGGGCTTGGAATTAGTATGGAAATAAATACCCATTATATATAATAATTAAAATTTTATATAAAAGTAATATATATTTATTTAACTTGGTACTGTTTGGTTTGGTTTTTGAACCCCAAAAATCGAAACCGAACCAAACCATTTCGGTTTGATTCGGTTTTGTACTTTCGGTTCGGTTTTTTCAGTTGCAGTTCGGTTTTCGGTCAGGTTTTTTTCGATTTTTGGTTTTTTCAACACCCCTACATTAATTTGCGACACTTATTTTCAGAGACTACATAAATCAATTTTTAATTTCATTGACCATTTGTGATAACACCTAATTATTTGGGTTATGTTGGAGAGATATAAACCATTAACAGTATAATCGTAATTTATTTTCCTAATTACGGTAAAATCCTAAGCATGCATCAAGATTGGGAATTTAACCGTGATTGGGATTTATTTTACAACTCAAGCATGCATCAAGATTCAAGACATGTCTTGTTTCTTAATTAATTAACTGACATTAAAAGACATGACAACTTTAGAGTTAATATATAGGTATAATTTTTCACAACTATTCACTTTGGAGAAAGATCGTGGTTGATAACCATTTGATCACAGGGGTTGCTATTTATACACCTCTTTTTATCTTTCACAAACTCTCCCTTCATTTATGTCATTTGATCTTCTTCAATTTATTTGATGTAATTGCTGAAAATTAAGAAAAATATGTGGAAAGTAAAAAGATGTGTATGAATAGCAAATCCTTTTATCAATTAGCATTGAATCTATATTTTATCAAAGGAGAATCCGAGTTGAAGCCATCCTTGCCATTGCCGGAGATTGGCGAAAAATGGTGGAAGAAGGGAACTTCTCGGCGTCATTCCACAGACAGTAATTCAACCCGGTCACGAATAATGGAGATTGAGTTTAGCTTGGCATACACTATTATTAGTCTAGCTGAGGGCAGGCCGGTGGTTGTGAATGAGGGCACGCCTGCCCATTTGATTTCTATATTTTGACCAAATAAAATTCCAGTCCCAACCACCTATTTAATCATCATCTTTTATTTTATTATTTATATAATTGCACACGGGGGTTTGGTGTTGCATACATGATGCAAGCAAATGAGTCCTGATCCTTTTCTGAGGATTCGGAGATTTGTGAATCGTATCCGTTCATCGTATATCGTGCAGTCAGAAATTATTTTAAATATTTTTATTTAAAAATAAACATAAACAATACTCGGCAAAAACTGATCGCACAATATACGATAAACGAACACGATTCACAGATTCTCAGGATCCTCATCAAAAAAATCTGGAGAGGATCCCGTTGGCAAGCAAATGATGCCATATAAGTTGATATGCCAGTGGACAAGGAAAACCAGTTGCCGTGTTTCTACATCAAATAATTGGATTCCGATCTTGATTCACACAGAGCCACCTTCTTTTGTTGTTTTTAGCTAAACAACCTGTAGTGCTTGGAATGATCACATATTTTTAGAAAATGAATGTGACAAATGCAAATCAATGTCGCCAACAAATCTGACTCAAACTGCTCATTTGTATTTAATCGTTTTGAAATTAGTATATTGTACTTGTAGGTGTGCTAAATCAATATCGCGCACGTGCGAGTAAGTTGATTGTGGCCGTTCCTAGTTTATGGGTTCCACAATCATGAATGATCAGAATTGGTCCTTAATTGTATCATTTCCCTTCCCTCTGCATATATATGATGGTGATTTCCCACTTATTTATATGAGTTTTGCTAATTAATCGAAAGCATATGAACAGCTAGGATCAGAATCTAACTATACCATTTTCCTTCCCTCAACATGTATATGATAGTCCATTGCCCTCTTTTTGACTGGGTTTTTTGGTTCATTAAGAAAAGATTCTCTACTTTCTGAATTTGAAAAAATTAACTCAAGAAAAACTAAAATGATTGGACCAAAAAATTAAGAAAGAGTTGTCAAAGGCAACTTTGTCAAATCTGTATTTACATTTTAAAGTGTGATTGTACATGTATTTTAGTACGACTCTATGCTCCCTTGAATCTTTGGTGGAAAGGAGATTTGAAGCCATTATTTCTATGGTTTTGTTGCAACAGATTCTCTGAGAAGTAACGTGGAGACCTTGGTGTTCTTATTTGATGATGCTTGTGGTGATTGTGGTTCTTCTTCTTCCTCCTCAATTCTTTCTGTGCATCACCTTCTTTTACGTCTTTAATCGAATTATCGGATTCAGTTGGTGATCTTAGCTGATGATGCTTGTAGTTATGGTGGTTGTTCTTTTTCTTCAATTCCTTCTGTGCATCACCGTCTTTTACGTCTTTAATCGAATTATCTGATTCAGATGGAACTGTGTACACGAATGCAAAGGGGATGTCATCAAAATCCTTGAGTGGCTCCAAGGTCTTGACCACTTCACTTATTTTTGGTCTTTGTTTTGGCCGGTGGCTGAGGCATTGGAAAGCCAATGCCGCGGCCTTTCTAGCCCCAAGTTCGGAGTACTGGCCTTCGAGTCTTGGGTCCATGATCCGGCTGAGTTTCCGGGGTTCATTTAACATAGGCCTTGCCCACTCAACTAAGTTTTGCTCTCTTTGAGGTCTGTTTTTGTCCACGGATCTCCTCCCTGTTAGAAGCTCCAATAGCACAACTCCAAAGCTATACACATCACTCATTGCTGTCAAGTGACCTGAAATTTAACACAAGTATTAGAAACTAATCCACAATTAACTTCACTAACCCTTTAAGTTGAATTGGGTTGGATTGGATTAATTAGTACCTGTCATGATGTATTCAGGAGCAGCATAGCCTTGTGTGCCCATAACTCTAGTGGAAACATGTGTCTCATCTCCTTCTGGACCATCTTTTGCCAATCCAAAATCTGAGAGCTTGGGAGTATAGTCCTGTAAACAAAAACGAATAAGAATATTAGCATTTATTGAATTAGTTTTAACAAAAATGGACAGGATTATTTAGTCCTAGAAGAAAAATACAGAGCAATACTTACAGAGTCCAACAAGATGTTTGAAGCTTTAAAGTCACGATAGATGACTGGTTTCTCTGCTTCATGGAGGAAGGCAAGGCCTTTTGCAGCTCCAAGCGCAATTTTCATTCTTGTGGACCATGGAAGCGACACCGAATACCCTGCACGACAAGAAAAAAGACATTAGAAATTGAAGGATGAATTTGTTTATGGCCGAGGCGATATTTTAAACTGTTTTAATCTGGGGGGGGAGGGATTGGTATGCAAGCGGCATACAGACTGTCATGGTCAACCAGCCTAATGCACATATGGTGAAGAACAAAATTTAAAGCTTTAAAAAATGCAAATTTTGTTGGGAAAATTAAACATACTTCTGAATAGCTGGTTCTCTAAGCTGCCTCTTGGCATGTACTCGTAAACCAGAAGCCTGTGTTCATCTTCACAGCAATAGCCTATGAGCTTCACAAGGTGTGGATGTCTCAGTTGCCCAAGAAAAACCACCTCAGTCTGCAGAAAACCAATAAAAATCATTAAAAACAAAGTCCATGAAAAACAAAAGTGATTAAAATGAGAAAATTGTAGAAAATTTCAAAAAAACAAAAAAAGTTGCTCACCAGCCACTCCCTATGGCCCTGTGTGCCATCCAAGTCCAAGAGCTTCACCGCCACTGGCTGAGCCGCCAAACCAGGCCTCAGCTTGTCATCAATGAACCCTTTGTGCACGGGCCCAAACCCGCCTTCCCCGAGAAAGTTGCTGGATGAGAAGCTCTGCGTGATCATCTTCAGCTCCCCAAGTGTGAAGATGTGAAGATTAGAGCCTGCAAGAGATATCGAGAGATCTTCCGAAAATGTTGTGCTTGGATTGCTCAGATCAGTTAGTGAAAGTCTTTGGAATGAGGTTTGTTTCGCCGCCACTTTCTTGCTGCTCTTTTTTGGTGGAACCCCAGATTTGTAGCAGTCTGGGAGAATAGACCTCCATGTGAAGACCTTCTTGACGGCCATTTTTTACGAAAATGTTTCCAAAAACTAGAGTTCGAAACACCTTCGCTTCCAAATGATTCCCGATCAATCCCAGATTTCTTGTTGTTTTGGGGAAGTTTTTATAGGATTTTGGGAACAATGAAAGAATTGAGTTGGAAAATATGAGAGGGGAGAGATGTTACGAAATGAGCAAATGATATGGGAGACTTTAAAGGAGAAGACAAGGCCTAATATTGAAAAAAAAATCACCAACTGCCCTCCAAACCAAACAAAAGATTAAGAGAAAGAGGTCTGCAACTTCTTTCTATCGACCCCTTTTGAATTTTTCTATATTTTCTGTTACATTCTTTGCATCACTCTATGGAAATTCCCCACCTCACTATATATATATTTATAGATTTGAAGATTTAGGGTATTACTTCAGAATTTTTTTTATCAAATGGGGTGATGAGTCCTTAGTCAACATGGTTGGTTCTTAGATGCAAAATTGACAAGGGTTACCCTCTTGACCTTGACTTTTTAGCATGAGGGTGAAAAGAACAGAAAAAAAATGTGAAACTGGTTCTATGTGCTTTGGAAATTTGGATCGAAAAGCACAATTAAGAATTTTTCTTAATGCTTTTACTTAACAAGTATGTCAAGTATGTTTTCTGCCACTTGGCTGGATCATCAAGTGTGAAGCATCAGCACCAAATTACCTTTTATTTCTTTACAAATATATAATAAAGCGGCTGAAGAAGAAAGGTCCAAACAGAACAACAGCAATCCAGCTAAGATATTGAAAAAAATCCCCAAGAGAACCAAAGAAAATCCAGCTAATTCACACTAAGGTATGGAAAAATGACGTGGAATTTCCAACTGGTTCAGATGTTTAGGGAAAAAAATGGTTGGTCTACTTGCATTAGGTTTTAGCTTCTAGAACAATGACCCTGAGAGAATGCCTTATCCCCAAAATACCAGATTTACCAACTCTCACCAACGCGTTATCATGGAGTGCATGCTCGAATTGGGTTAGTTAGCGGACAGTGTGTCCGGCCTTCATGCACTCAAGTTCGAATATCTTTGAAGTGTGAAATTTTTCAATGTAATTATAACCTCATCAAGTCAAGTGATGTTATAATCAACCCATATTATAACAAGTGTTTTGTTTACAAATAATATTGGTGAACATGAATGCTTTATCCGCTCATGTTATAACAAGTTAATTAATACGTAATAGCTTTGTGATCACATTAGATAGATCGGAGTTTTTTTTCAGTATATCAGATGGTTAAGATTGTTTGTATTCTTAAGTTGACCTTATCGAAATCAAAGTAGGTCCCCATGTAGGGTAGTTGAGGTGTCATGGTAACCTGATGCTAAATTGCTAATGATAATGTTTAATCTTTGTTTTAAAATGAGTATTTCATACAGATTAGCTTCGGCAGATGAATGTGGAATTAGAATGTATCCATCAGAGAGATGTCAGAAATGGGTGTGGTGACTTCGTTTCATTCGTCACTTCATGAATGTCAGTGGGCATTCTTGTCATTTGGGACCAGCAAGAAACTTGCAAAGCAAGAATGTTAGATGTTCAAATGACGACTTGATTACTTTAAGGGAGTTAGTAAATAAAAAGATCAATTTCTTAGACTTTATATCAGTAGAGTGGAAAAAGAAGCGCGTAGACAGATGTTTTAAATTGAACTCAATATATGTAAAAATATAAAACAAAAAGTTACCGCATGAAAACACGAAGAACACAATTTTCATACAAATTTTAATTTCCAATAAGTCATTAATTTCATATATTTTTCCTCTTTTAAAAAAGTTTTGAATTGATGTCAACATATAAAAGGCTATTCAACTAAAATCATTTTTAAGATTGACATAACTCTTCAGTTTAGTCTTTGACAATGAAAATCGATAAAATTAGTCCCTCAGTTTGTCATTGTGAATCATGTTAGTCTTTTCGTAAAATTTGTGAAATATTCTTGTTAAATTGTGAAGTAAACGACCACGCGATCACCTTTTTAAGGATATTTTTTTCAAACCAACCTCTCCACTTAACAAGTATATTGACATATTTTTCATAAAATTATCAAAATGATTTACAGTAGGCAAACTCAATGACCACTTCTATCAATTTTCATTTTAAATACCAAAGTAAAACGCTATGTCAATCTTAGACCAGTTTGATTAAAAACCTACATAAAAGCATGTTTTTATTTTTTTTACTTTGTTTAATATTGCATGATAAATGTATGTTTTTATTTTTTTTTTACTTTGTTTAATATTGCATGATAAACACGATGGTTAGGCGTGGAATCTTCAGAGAAGCTCTATATAACACGTCAGGGGCTGCTAGCTAATGAGGAGATTAACCTAATTTAATTATTTTCCTTAACCCTCCTAGTCCTAGCTAGGCAATGATCAAACCCCGTCCCACTTAGTAAGCTCATAGTAAAATATTAATATCCACGTGAACACCGCTTTATCATGCCGTCTTGTCCTACTTTGAACCTTAGTTATACTTGGCTTGATTAATACCTTGAAATTTTACTAAGCCTTCATCTTGCATCTGGTCTCTATCTCTCTCTGTTTTTATTTTGTTTTGAAGGGGGGTGATTTCGATGCGTCTGTTTTCATATTCTACACGCTTCCTCTTAATTCTAGGAGTACTTGGTTTTCATTTTTGTTTGTTCAATTCAATAGTTATACAAGAAGACGTGCAACAGGTGAAAACGATGTGCATTAATAATTTTCCTTTGTAATCTCATACTCAGACGAAATTTGTTAAAAATTGCTTTGATAAATTAATCAAACCAACGAAAACGATAGTAAGAAGTGTTCATTCATATTATTTTGGTAAGAGTATATTGTTTTAGTAATCCACATACGCATGACATAAAACAACGTACTAAGATCACGTGAGTAAATGAAAAACTGATGTTCTATAGTGATCTTTCAAATAGGTCAAGAATTAGAAGGGATCAATATTCAATCAAACTACAACTGCCCCTACCTTCCTCTGTGGAAATGGAATTTTACCAAACAACCAAACACAAATCAAACTTCTTGAAATCCTACGCAGTTATGTATTACATCTTGACTTTAGATCAACTTTCTTCTAACATACTCCATCATCTAGATAAATAAACGGGCCGTGTATGATCATAGAAAAATTAGAAAAGAAAATACTCAATTTGGTTTATAAATAATATATATGAGTTGCATATATGTCAATGAATCCATTTCATGGAATAATATGGGCTCGGTGTTGGTACGTATATAATAAATCTTTAGTCAACGTCATGAAAGCACTCATCATTGTTATTCACTTTTAAGCTCATTTTATTTATGTTTTAGTGTTATAACATATGATATTGTCATTCAACGTCAAAAAAATATAAGATCGCACTATAGTCGTCAAAGTTTACGGTCCAAAGTTACAAATATGATCTTTCTATAATATAGTTAACCGCAACAAATTTTTGCACAGCCGGTCGCCCAACACGCAATAGATGATCGGCAATGCACAAAATTGATTAACCGGAAATACTCTATTTATACATACATACATATATACTTGAATCATCACAACGGCTCTGCGGAGTTAATGATAATCGTAAGCATGATGCAGTTTAAGTTGTGCTCGATCAGTTCAACCACCAGAGACTTTGGCTAATATTTAAAACTAAGACTGTTTCAACCAAACCGAGAATACTATATAGGGCTAGCTTACATGCATACGTGTGGTGCAAACCTTGATTTTGTTAGGCCACACGATCTTGGAGTACGTATTTAAGCACGTAACAATAACAGATATAGTATGACTGCAAACATACCAGGAACTATATTATTAAACACGGTGTGAAACGCGCGGTTCCTCTTTCTTGTTTTGAATGGTTTGTAATTAGGTAAAAGTCAACTATCAAGTGGCCTAGTTTTTTTCGAAGAAATATACAAAGCTTTGATTTGGCCTGTGTAAATGTATGATCTGTTCTTCTGAATCGTGTGAGGGCTGAGCTGAGGAGTCAGCAAATAAATATTGCGATAGAGCAATGTAATGCGTACGTAGGTTTTGGTATATAACTTTGTGGCAAGAACGGTCCACTGGATGCCTTTTTGTACAAGCATATATTACTGTATGAAAAGGAAGAGATATTATGTTAAATTAGAGTGCTGCGAGAGTGATGTGACTTTGACCCTTGAGAGATTATATAGTTTCCACAGTATTACGACACATGGGAATGATCCAGAAATTATGGCTTGTTTATGCACAACATCATCAATTGTTTAATAAGAAAACTAAGGAAAAGAATTTGTAAATTTTGAGTTTTAACGATAATGACAAAATAAAAGGTAAAGATAACATTATCAGAATTGACTTTTTAGTGTAAAAATGTAGTGTTTTGATAAAGTGAACAGTACCGGAAGCTTTTCATTAAAGTTCCCTTGTTTAATTTCTATGAATTTGTTAGGTTAGGAGAAGAAGAGGGAGGGGAGGATAGGAGAGGGGAAGGGAGGGGAGGGGATGTGTTTTATGTGACTGTCCTCCTACAACAATGAATTAATAAGTTTGAGGGTTGTAAAATGGATGCAAGGGTCAGTTGTCCACACAAGCGCGGGTGATTTTGAGTAAATCTATAATTGATTGTGGAATTAACATTTATTAACACCTCACAATTACTAATGTATGTATGCAAGGTTGGAGAAATTTTTCATTGTAACGGGAATACAGGTGGTACACCACGTGTTTTCATGTAAGTGGTAGTAAATTTTATTTTTTAAGTTATTAACTTTTTAACACACAAATCCTATCATTTATATAGTGATACGTAATGTATCATTTCGTATACCAATCACATTGAAAAATCTAGTGCACGGTTGAGCCTAAGCAATTCACTGATTAGCACGGAAATATCCCCATGCAAGGCGAGCCGATGGGGCAAGAACTACCTCGGGGCGCGAGATATAAACCCTACTGAAAAAGTCACACATATATTATGAACATATAAAACTATATAGTATCGGTTGTATGTAAGATTCTCCTCATATTCATAATTGACATGGACAAGTGCTTGGATTCTTGGAAGGTAGAAATATGAGGACCCGAATCATGGTTGGGCTTCTTAGAAAGTTCGTAATGAAAGTAAAGGATGGGCTTCGTTTTCGTTGGATAAAAATTTATAAGGACTCTGAATCGTCACATAGGCTAAGGCCTAATATTATAATCCCACGTAACGACCGTATCAAACACTAAAGATACGGTCTGTAGATATTCTCTCACTCCTGGTGGTTCAGATAAAAAAATATATATATATATATTTAAACTCATTTAACCTTTTTTTACATTCAATTTAAATTTTAGATGTTAATTGTCTATTTTATCCTATTATATAGTTACTATTAAGTACAAAATGAAATTAATAATAAAACCCAAATTTATTAATAAAACCCTACAATCACCCTAGGATCACTCTTTGTTTATCCTACATTCATTCTGGCTAAAACCGTAATAGCTTTCATAGAGAAAAATAAGTTTTTTTTATTGATGGATGGTGATTTTAAAGTTTTGAATCCTCCAACCTATGTATGACTCAATTTATGAATTTTTTGTGCGTTTGATTTCAATTTTTAGAGTGTAAAAGTTACTTTACTGTAATTTTATTTTTTCAACAAATACAACGAAAGCATCCTACCTTCTGGCTAAAACAAACAACAACGAAAGCATATGTTTACTCCTCAGATTTTGTTGATAGCCTTTGGCTTAATCGCCATGACACAAAAAAAATTATGGAGCAGTTGCTGCCTAATACTTTCTTGTTTGTGGCTGCGTTTCGACCCTTTTTTAATATCTAGAACCTGTGCTAAGGGAAGATATACAAAAGCTAATTTTTTCTTCAACTCTATGTTGCTTTTATACTTTATTCCTTTTTCCCATACATCTCTAAGGATTGTAAATTCTATAGATATGGGATGGAGTACCGAAGCCCCATGCCCATAAAAGTACCCCCTTGAGCGAATTTTTTACTGTGAGATATCTTATATTCTTTCTTGTCTACTCTCTTGTCATGTTTTCTTTGTATAATGTTCTTATTAGTCAAAGCCTATTGTCTCTAATACTTCATTTTTTAATATGAAGGTAGAAGTAGTTGTTTTGTCCAGTCACCAAGAGAAGGAGGTGAAGTTTAAGGAGGAGCCAACCCCTTTACCATCAGAAGTCAAGTGGCACAGCGGCAGCTTCTGAGTTAAAAATGTAACGGATGTAAAAATAAATCCACATATTGAATTGAGTTTATGAGGTTATATTAGGTATTAAATTTGGGTTTAAAGAAATATTAATAGTTTAGTTAAAAATCAAATAGGTGCAAAGAGTAAGTTGGGTGTATAAATAGGTTAGATTGGTTTAAATAAAATTTTCCTAAAAAAAACCTAAGTGCCTATAATTAATTATGTGATTTTATATTCAAATTTAACTTTGCTTTCTAATTCAACAAAATTTATCGTTTAAAAAAAAATTACACCTTTATCATCCAATGGCATCTCTTCTCCCTTTTTAAAAATAAATATTATCATTAACAAGAGAAATGGGAAGAATTTGAAACTACATATAATTTAGGAAGAGAGAATTTTGAATTTAAGAACGCATGGCATCTCTTCTCTTGGTAAAGATAAAGATTTTTGTATTTGATCCCTCCTCCTATGATAACAGAGTGACTTTTGAATGATATTTTTAAAGAAAAATCATCGACAATTAGAAAGAGAAAAACAAAATCTCCACTCTACAAGGATAATCAATATTAAAAAGGATTAGGAGGATTTTGAATATTCTTGTGGTGCCAAAATTTCAACTTGTACTGCACCCATAAATTGATTAATGAAGATTCGCCTGTCACTATACCATATGTTAATTTCAAACCAACATTAGACAAAATCTTGGCGGACCAAACGAATCTTAGAGTGAAGAACTACATAGAAATGGATCAATATTTCAAGTGATTCCCAATTTTTTGGCTACTTGAAAATTAATTGTTTACAAGATATGTGTGTGTACATATATATATACACACACAAATATATAATGAGAGCTAATATGTGACAACTTATGGACAAGTTTTTGTGGAGTCTAATTCGTAATATATTTCAATAATCCGAATTGTTTATCTTTTGGGTCTTCCTCAAAAATCATGTCTACCAAAAATCATCCAAATTTAAAACTATATGACGGTTGAATTGAGGGCTTGGGGTTTCTTTGTAGAAATTTATTCGTCCATTTTCTTTCCTACAAATAAATATCCTAATAATTTTTTATCAGTCTCATTATATTAGACAAACTCAAATCTACAATAATCTTGACTTATTACTCTACCCTCTTCTGTCTCCCACTTCCCCACAATTCATTTGAGTTCAGAAGAAGTAAATTTGTGCAAATAGTTCTCTTCCAAATTATATTTTAAATTTTTCTTGTTTGGGCAAAATATTGCTAGGGAGACTACAAGTGTAGACTAAATTTTGTAAATTAAATGACATGAAAGTTGATAAATTGAATTATTACTTAAGTGTTAATTAACTTGTTTATTTCTTATTAGTGATACATCATTGAGTTTATAAATTTTATAGCATTACCCTACTTGTGTTGTCTTGAGAATAGTGTTGTATTGGCAATAGTGAGAGAATCGAATATGTCTTGTTAAAGGTAGTCTATAGTCATAATCCGTTCACTGGTCCCTTCCCAACCAATATTGAAATTTTCGTCCAGTTAATTGCTTAAAATATCATATAAGATTGATATTGATGTTTAATTGAGATGCATCATGCATGACCAAGATGTTATTTCATTTTATAAATGATTAAGTACCTAAAACTTTTTAATTTTTTTAGTGTTATTTCAAATTGATCTTAATATTTTTAAACATTTTAAACAAGTACTCAACCTATTAAAAATGCCACATTCATTAAACTCTAGTTAATTTTTCAAAAATAGATTTAAAACCCACCAATTGGGTATATCATAGTCAACATTAATATTAGTTGCCTTAAAATCTAAATTTCAAACATAGATTATATAATATGGAACTCAATGATCAAATGGGTATTGAATTGAATCAAAAATGGATCCAGATTGAAATTACATCAAGAAGGCAACCTCCTAACCAAAACAAGGAATTTAGATAGGGTTTCATGAAGCTTATTTATGCTCATGTGATTTCTTCATTCGTCGAAGCTTCCAATTTTTCTTGTGGACGGTGAAGATAGTGGTGGCCGCATCTTGGCAGTCTATACTATTTTAGCAACCTCTATGACCTTCTTTTCGATATTTGCGGGTTGAGTTGTAGGGTGGAGTTGATAGTTTTGCGTTGGGGTTGCAGGTGATAGCCTGATAGGGGTGGTGGCAATTGTTAGTTGGTGAAGGCTATGGTTTCATGACCTTCTATCGAGTTAACTTAACAAATTTTGAATAGGGGTTTAACGAATGGTGTCCAGGGGAGGCTTAAATACTTATGTGAGTCTTCCCGGCTCACGGAAGGTTGGACTACCGTGGCAAAGCCATCAACTGGTCCTTTTTTTTGAAACTAAAATGAATGTTACATTTTCAATAGGTTGGGTAATTGCTTGGAATTTTTAGAAATGTTGAGACCAAGCCTCACAATGGACAGTGGACTAAGTCTCACAAAGGGTTTGCCATAATAATGTGGTTCAAATTCGTTTTTGGCGATAATCAAACCTAAGACCTCTCACTTACAAGTAAAAATGAATACCACTATATCGTAGTATTAAGTTGCTCCTCTCCCTTGATATTATCTGTATAAGAAAGATATTTAAATTAAATCGCTTGGGCCTAGCCACTTTCCCTTGTTCGAATTGCTCCATTTTACCAAAGAGCATCTTTTAAGCCTAATTAACATTTTCCTTATCATTCATCACCAACCATACAAGTAGATATTTTTTTCTTGGAATCTTTTCTTAGATATCGGTTTCCTAATGGGACCAATTCTATTGTTGTCATCCATTTAAGTTTATTTCATGATATTTATGCCGTTTTTTAGTAACCCATCTTTTCTTGGTTTGTTTTGTTGAACATCATTTTCATAGTGTTGTTCCATGTCTCTTTCTATCTTCTGTTTTTTTTTTTTTTTTTTTTCCAATTTATATGCAACATTTTCCGTCGTTGAATAAATAAACAAACAGTGCATTCTACTATTCGAGGGATTTTTCTTTGAAGGTGACAAATGGTGATGGTGGTTGAGTCCAGCAATGACAAAAAATAAAACAAAAGAAAATAACTGGTTCGATTATTGACACCAGAGTGACTAGCTTGGCAAAGCCATCACCACAAACTGAAACATCTTCAAATGAGTACATTCAGTTCATATAGTGTTAGGGATAACAAGGTATGACATAGTTTTCTCATGATCATTGAATCTCTACTATAGGGGTGTTCATGATTCGAAACCAATAAAATTTAATCAATTCAAATTCAATCTTACGTACATTGAATTGTATCTGGTTCAATCTTATAACTTATATGAGCCTATAATTTGAACCGATCCACCTAATGATTGAGTTGGATAAAATAGTCGATTCTAACAACAAAAAAGAATGAAATATCAAACTATTAAAATCAAATATAATATTAATCACACATTTTAATTAGATGAAAATTAACACGTGTTTTGGTTGTATAATATGTGGGACATATTTTCGAACTAGAGTTCATTTGATCCAATTTTGTTGGTTTTGAAAGTTAGGAACCCAATCCAATATGCTAATCACTTAAGCAATTGGGGCTGTTTTTATTTCTTGCTTTCACATGTGGAATTTTTGTAATTTGTTCTTTCGAACTTTGTTATAAAAATTCTCATAGACCAAAAAAAAGATAGACTTAACTGGATATTGAACACTTTTAGTATTTACTTTGTTAGAAGACATCAGCAATTCATATATCAAAAAATAAGTTGCAAAACGATTGTTTTTTATTTTTTTTGGGAAAATAGTTGCAAAACGATTGTTTATGGACGGAAAATGCTATACAATACAAACTTACAAAATGTTAAACGGCTCAAAAAGCTTTTGAGGTCACGCCGTACGTCATCGATAACGAAACCCTAACCCTGAAAAGTAAAACCCAAAGTAAATTACCGCAAAAAAATACGTATAAAATTGGAAGAGGTACGTAAGCGTTACAGCAACGTGGCAACTGCTGGTTGGTTATGGTTGTTTAATAAGAAGCCCAACCAGTGGATTCCAGAGCACCAGAGTGGCCTCCCCCTCACCAAAGATTCAATCAGCAGAATCTCCGTCCATCTTCTCCTCCGACACATCACCAAAAACATGGCTCGGCTGACGCTATTCTTGTCCGCCGCCTTGGTCCTGGCGGCGATCAGCTGCGTCGCGGCAGCATCGAGCTTCGATGAGTCCAACCCAATCCGATTGGTGTCCGACTCCCTCCGTGACATGGAGGAGCAAGTCGTCCAGGTCCTCGGCAGCTGCCGCCACGTCCTCTCCTTCGCCCGCTTCGCTCACAGGTGGGTTGGCCGGCTCCACGCGGAGTAGTTCGTTCCTGATCAGAGATCACCACCGTCCGATTAACTGACTTTGTTTTTCTTTGGTTTTTGGGAATGATCAGGTACGGGAAGAAGTACGAGAGCGCGGAGGAGATGAAGCTGCGGTATGCGATTTTCTCGGAGAATAAGAAGCTGATTCGATCTACCAATAAGAAGGGCTTGCCTTACACTCTTGCTCTCAATCGTAAGTCAACCTTTTTCATTTCCTTCTCTGTCTGCTCTCTGTTTTTATTTTTTTTTAAAATAAAAAAGATATTAATTTTGTTTCTGCGTTGGATTATAACTGAGTTATTGTTGTATCTGGTTGAAAAAATAAATAAATAATTGAACAGTATCTGGTTGAAATTTAGAGAAAAAAGACGGGAAATTGGCCGAAATAATCAATTTACTAATTTCAATTGTAGATGTGATATGTAATTGACATGTCGTTAGTGTTTATTTGATTTTGATTAGTTTAGCAGTTGAGATAAGTACTTTTGCAGAAAATGTTTTTGGGTTCCAATGTCCTTCCAAAAAAATACTTTGCTTTTTCAGTATTCACTTGCGTTTTTTCTAAAAGTTTAGCTTCGAAAACATTTTCACCAAAAACGCTTTCAATCATTTTAAAAGCACTGCAAAAAAAACTCAAGTAGTGTGCACATTAATAGGTGAATTTACTAACTAGGGTTAAATTGATTGATATATTAAAGGGTTTGCTGATTGGAGCTGGGAAGAGTTCACAAGGCACAGGTTGGGAGCTGCTCAGAACTGCTCTGCCACCACAAAGGGCAACCACAAGCTCACTGATGCCGTTCTTCCTGAATCGGTAAATAGGTTTTTCGTTCATTAGATTTAAATGCATGATATTTCTAATCAACTAGAGACTGAGTGACGCTAAATCAATATTTTTCGCAACTTTATATTAAGACAATGGAAAATGTAAGAGAAACCCCTATTATGCAGTAAATCGGCACATTAATTACATCAATTATAATCAATTATTATGATCGGTTACTAATAAACGCGTAGCTAGCTAGATCTACCGCTTTGAAGTTAATATCGACTGTTCCTTTGTGTGTATGTACAGAAAAACTGGAAAGAAGAAGGCATAGTGACTCCAGTTAAAGATCAAGGTCACTGTGGATCTTGCTGGACATTCAGGTTTTTTTCCTAGCTTGAGTATTTTCGATGATTGCCGAATGCAAATTGTAAATTAAGGCATACTAATTATTGTGTATTTCGAATGTTTAACACTAATATATGGATGATGCAGCACCACTGGAGCTCTCGAGGCTGCGTATGTGCAGGCATTCGGAAAGCAAATCTCCCTATCGGAGCAGCAGCTTGTGGATTGCGCTGGCGCATTCAACAATAACGGCTGCAGTGGTGGGTTGCCATCTCAAGCATTTGAGTACATCAAGTACAATGGCGGTCTTGACACCGAGGCTGCTTATCCGTATGTTGGAGTCGACGGTGTTTGCAAATACTCGGCAGAAAATATTGGTGTCCAAGTCGTCGACTCTGTCAATATCACCCTGGTAACCTTAACGGGACAGAAAAGCAGAGCTTATAAGCACTTTTTGACAATTGAAATGCTTTAAATTTCAAGGGGCAGCTTGTAATTGTTATGTGCAAAATTATGCAGGGTGCTGAAGAAGAATTGAAGCATGCTGTTGCATTTGTGCGGCCAGTCAGTGTGGCGTTTCAGGTCATCAATGGTTTCCGATTTTACAAGTCGGGAGTTTACACCAGTGACACATGCGGTACCGGCCCCATGGTGCGTTTTAAACTTTTGATTTAGTCTTAATCTATTTGTCTTTTCAAATTAACCAAAACGTTATCCTAATCTCGTGTTATGTTTGCAGGATGTGAACCATGCAGTTCTTGCAGTTGGGTACGGAGTTGAAAGCGGCGTCCCGTACTGGCTCATCAAGAACTCTTGGGGAGAAAGCTGGGGCGACAATGGCTACTTCAAGATGGAGTATGGGAAGAACATGTGTGGTAAGTTTTTCGGTTTACTTTTCGGGTTGCTAAACTAATAAATGTGGGATATGTTTTGGCTGGAAACTGAGGTGTAGCTTCTTATTGATTTCAATGATCTGTATTGCAGGTGTTGCAACGTGTGCATCGTACCCGGTTGTCGCGTAAGTCTGTCGAAAGAAACGGTGGCCGTGGTTGTGGATATGTAATACGAAATTCATCGTTGTTTCGGACTGGGATATGTTCTGTTGTACTAGGGTTTCCAGCTTGAAGGTGAAGGAACGGGTCGTTGTTTAGTGGTGACTAATGTTTCTGCCTTGATGTACAAATAAGATACAAAGACTATTATTTATTGCCTATGTAATATAAGCAACGAAAGGTCCTTTTGTTTAAATTAAAGTTGCACGTTTACGTGGAGGAAGTCATAAATCGAGATGCGAAAAGAAAAAAAAATATAGATATGAGATTGATGAGCCCTCACTCGTTGATCTTGTCTTTGAATTTTCAGGTATTAGGTTACATTTTTTTTTTTTTTTTTTTAGTATATCGATATTTTTACATAAAGAAGATGGGGAGTTTGGCTAAACCACACAATAGGCAACCTAATTTGGTATCGAATTTGCAATCTACGATATTCGAACTTAAAGACCTTTCACACTCTAAATGAACAGGAATACCATCAGATCGTAATACTGAGTTGCTTTAGATTACAAGGGAAGTTAGATATTGGGATAATTCCAACAACAATGTTCCATCAAACGTATGGAAGTCAAGAAATGGATAATTCCAATACTCATTTCATGAGAATAAACATGGCAACAAGGTCGAATTTTGAAGGGACGAAAAGCTTTTTTTTTTTTTTTAGTATTTTTTTTTTTTAAAAGATGATAATTGATGACAAGTCACGGCTATCCATTCTTTTTTAGGGCCGATAACACTCACAGAGGTTGCTAAACCCACCTAATTGTCCTTATACTCGCTTTTTCTGAAATGTTAATGACACGTTTATCCTTTCATAAAAGGACTTTTGAACTTTTATTTAATTGAGTATTGAAACGTTGAAAAAGCTAAAAATATTAAATGGAAAAAAAAAAAAAAAAAAAAACTAACGAAAAGTTCAAAAAAACTTCACTTTTAATGAAAAACTTTTTTTAAAAGTATAGTAAATAGTACCAGAGGAAATGTATAAATATGATTTTTCGTTAGAAGTGAACAATACCGGGAATGTTGTTAAAACACCCAAAAAAAAAAAACCTTCCCTCTTCCCAAAGCAATCTCTCGGCATGACGTCGGCATTCTCGTACTGTAAGCCTTCCTCACTTTTGCGGCAACTTTCAAGCTCTCAACCACTTCCAATTCGATCTCTTCTGATGTGTGTTTGGTACGAGCATCATTGTTGGCTCGCTGCAGCCGACCCGACGACGCCGTTTCGAAGCTAAGTAGGGTCAGAGATTTCTGCAAAGGTTCTTCGGTTTTAACTTTTAGATTTCGTCGGAAACTAATTGAGTTTTCAAGAATTGGAGAGTTGCATTGAGTTGGGTTTCTTTGAAACCATCACCGCAATTTCGAAGGTGGTTGCACACAAGACATGCACGTGCCCAAACGTCAAACTTTCTATCTTCAATTTGAACGAGGTTAGCGATTGGGACTAAAATTGAAGTAAACAAACTAAATGACTAAAGTGGAAAATTGTTCCAACCACGGTTACCAAAAGTGTAATTTGGCCAACTAACCGTATATGTTTCTGTAAAAATATTATCATCAATGAAATGGAATGGAATTCATACACAGCAATTTCTCTGTAACGCAGTAAAGCAAACATTGTGGCAATGATTTTTATAACTTTGACAAATCATGGTAAGCCAGCAACGTATAAAGATTACGAGCAAATCTAACATGAACAAGTATGCACAAAATCTATTTGATTCGAAGCGATTTGCTGAGTTTATGAAGTTCTGCAATTGCTCGCTCCCAACTCCCTTTCCCTTGCCATGTTACTAGATGCTTAGTGGCTGAAACGCCGGAACACGAACAAGTATAACCATGTCGAGAGTGCAAGGCCAGCCTATTGAGGAATTATATCATTGAGCAAACTTTGTATGGCAAGGTAAATATACAGTCTTGGCTCTAAACTCAAAATGAAAACGCGCAAAGTACTTACTGGTTTTCGACCCATTTGTGTCACAAACTGAGCATGCTCCATTTGGTGCCTGATGCACTGTTGCGTGCGGAAGGACCTCCTCCAACCACTGGAAGCTGTACTCCAACTCCAGTTTTGTGATAGAGCTTCAATCAAACAGCCACTGGAATTTGTGCATTTGCTTTCATATGATCAGTTCTTCCTGAAGGTGACATGCCCGAATTGAGGTCCTTGTATGCAATTTGCTTAATGTGATGGGCTTCATTAGGCATCCCAGCCTTCATGAGGCAAGATGTCAAAGCATTTACCGTGATGTTGTCCGGGGCACAACCAATTGCCAACATCTTTTTAAAATTGCTAATTGCCTCAGACATTCTCCCTTTCATACAATTCCCGAGTATGAGAATGGTAAACGTCACTTTATCAGGGCTGCATCTCTTCTCTTCCATCTCGGCCACAATGGCGTTTGCCTCATCAACATTGCCAGCCTTACAGAATCCATCTATCACAGGGTTGTATATAAAAGGTTTCGGAACCACATTACTCCACTTTAATTGCCTCAGAAAATCACGTGCTTCATGTAGTCTACTCTCCTTGCACAAAGCATTAATAAGGACAGAGAAAGTATACGCACTTGGAGACACATTTTTCCCATTCATCTCCTGCCAAAGCTTTAATCCCTGACTCAGTTGCCCAGCTCGACAATGGCCATCAATTAGGGAAGTGAAGGTAAAAACATCTGATCGATAACCATGAAAGAGCATTTTCTGATGCATAGCAAGTGCAGAACCCATGTTGCCAGTCTTACCAAATCCATCAATCATTGCATTGAAAGTAACAGAAGTTGGTCTAACTCCGGCATTAATCATCTCATCAAAAAGAACTGAGGCCTCCTCCATCTTACCCAACTTGCAATATCCTGATATGACTGACGTGAAAGTTATAACATCGGGTGAAAGTTCGATTCTTGATTGAACCTCTTTGAGTAATTGACATCCCCTATCTACCTCGTTAGTCCTACAAAGTCCAGTAATTAGTGTATTATACGTAACCATATCGGGGTAGCAACCAAAACTCCCCATATCACTGAACAACTCAAATGCCTTATCAACTTCCCCAACTCTGCATAGACCTCGAATTAGAATATTGAAAGTCCAGCTATCCGGGCGACAATGTGACCACATATGCTTTCTAAACAAGTAAACAGCCTCATCCGCTTTATTCTGTTTAACCAACACATTGAACAAGTTATTGTATACGAAAGGCGTCAATCTAATCTCATCACAATGAACCTCATCAAGAAACTTCTCAGCATTATCCAACTTGCCCATCTGAGCATACGACGACACCAAGAGTTCCACAGCCGAATCATCGGGTGTATGCCCGTCACTCCTCATGTAATCAAACACCAATTTAGCAGAATCTTGAAGCCCCATTTGACACAGAGACCTCAAAAGAAAATTGTAAGTCCATACACTATGATTAACACTCAAACTAACCCTACTGAGCTCAAAGAATTTCAACCCCAATATCGGATTGTTCAACCTTTTAATAACCTCGAAAGCAGTCGAAGGTGAAAGGTTCTTACTAAGATAAACCAAATCCAGTGAATGCGAGCGAAGAAACAGAGTGCAAACAACTTTCACAAACCAAGCCTCTGGGTTTGACGTTACCTCAAAGTCGTGAAGCGGGCGCGGCCGAGCTCCACAGTGGGCGAGGTTGTGAAAATGGGAAAAGGCGATCTTGGAGGCTCGAACCCAGAAGGTCGGACGGGCTTTGAAGAACAGGACGGTCATCTGCACCGCCGGCCCATCCCTAGGCTCAGCACTGCTCTCATAGATGTTTTCAATGAAAATCCTGTTCTGGGTTCGGGTTGATTGACCGGATTTTCTCGCGGGTCGCCCGGAAGTCGTATGGGGTTTGGGATTCGGATCGTGGGTCCTAATGGATATGGAGAAAAACCCAGAAATGTCAGCTCACCAAACCGGAGCTTCATCGGGGTTTTAGGGCGTTTCGCGGTGGGATTAATCGGAGAGATACGAAAACGAAGAAATGGAGGAAAACCCAGCAACCAGAAATGGAGGAAGAAGATGAAAGCCTGGAAATTGGTTCATTTCTTTCTGAAGTTGTGAGGTCACTGCCTTAGGGTTTATAAGAGACGCAGTGTTGGCTTTGAGTTGGAGATTATGTCACCGGCCCGTCAACAAAAGATTGCCCCATCTGAATACTTGGGCTTTTTTTGGGCCCAATACAAAGCCCAATATTTTGATGTGTAAAGAAATAATATTAATTAGCAGAAAAATTGCACAAATGACTCATAAACTCTTGGGTAAATTACATTTTACCTTCTCAAATTTAGGGTTGATTTTAATTCCTTACAATATATTTAAAACATTTCAATTTCATACATCAAGTATTATTTTATTTCAATATAATACATCTGTTACATTTTCCATTTATTGATACGTTAAGAGTTGACGTGGCTGACACATTAATTTGTTCTACGTGGCAAAAAAGAAAATTAATTTAAAAAAAACCTGAATCTTCTAAAAATAAAAATATATATAAAATAAAATAAAACTGAAAACGCAAAACCCAACCCCTTACTCTTCCATCCTCGCCCACTGACGTCTCCATCCCCGAGGACCAGGAGTCATCGTCAACTGTCAAAGGAGATGGTCATGCCTCAATGGGAGGGAGGTGGAGATGGTTTGAGACTTTGGCAGTAGGTTTTGTGGTTGGGCTACGAGGGGGGTGGAATTGCAAAGGAAAAAGGGTAGGGGTGTTCTAGAACAAAAAGAGGGAAAAAAAGGTAGAGGGGTTTTGGAATTAAATAGGGAGAAAGGGACTCGGGGAAGAATCGGACCTTGTAGTTTTGGATGTGGCTCGCCAAATCAGCCATGGTTTCCAACGAAAATGGGCACCAAAAATCTTTTAAATTGAAGCAAACCTACCGCTTCGCCGCTGCCGCCACATGTTGGTCTCGAATCTTCGACCTGGATCCCCATCGACAAAACCTTCTTCCTCGCTGTCGACTTTGTCGTGGAAAGTCAAATTCTAGACGGGCCTCTTGTTATGATCCCGTATCTCGATCACAATTAGTGATGTAATAGCAGACTAAATATGAGTATTAGGGAGTGATTAGTTATTGCCAGCTGGCAATTTGTTTTAGTGGAAACTTATATATAAGCTCATGCTTTGAATGTAAAAGAGGAGATCATAATTTTACAAAAGAAATCAATACAAAAAATATTGGAGCTCCACTCCTTCGTCTTCTTTCTCTCTTCCTCTCTATCCTCTGTGTTACTTGCAGGTTGATTAAGGGCCTAGAGATTTGGATTGTATCACCTCTTCGCGCCCACGGAAGAAAAAGATAGTGGAGGAGATGGGTTTTCCAATCTTGAAGTCCCATAAGGAGCATTCTTTCTCCTAGGTTTCTTGCACTTTTGTCGGTTTTTGTTTTTGATTCCATTGCCCTCTGATTTCTGGAATGGATTTTCTGAAATTGAAAAGCCAGAGAGAGAAGGGAAGAGACAATGTGGAGTAGCTCAAATGGGCTGGGTTTTGGGGTCAAGGGAGGTGAAGAGAGTGGAGGAGATGCGTCGTGGTGGTGGTGGTGGGGGGGGGGGGGGGTGGGGGGTGGGGTTGCGTGGAAGGGATAGGTTTATGGGGTTTTTTTTTTTTTTTTTTTAAATTTTATTTTGAGAAGATGCAAGTTTTTTTTTAACTAAAAATTACATTAAAATGTGGTAGCCACGTCAGCTCTTAACGGATCAATGAATGAAAAATGTAACAGATGTATTATATTGAAATAAAATAGTACTTGATGTATGAAATTAAAATATTTTAAAGATGTAAGGAATTGAAATCGACCATAAACCTAAAGTGGTAAAATGTAATTTACCCTAAACTCTTTTATTATTGTTCCTTCACAACCAAGGTAGTTGGCCAAACAAATATCCACCTAGTTTAAAATCGATTAGGTGTATATGACACATTCGCCCAATTTCGATCCACAGTTCAATCAAATCTAAACACATGACTGCCTTGAAAATTAGAGTTATTATTTTGATTTGCACGAGAATCCATTTTCGAGGATATTCACATCTATTTGTAAGTACCTATCGCTAAAATGTTTAAGATGTTTTATTTTATTTATTATTATTTTTTTTTTGTGAATCATTTTTCTCAACTTTCTATAGAAAGGGGCGGAACCACCTCTCGATCTACTCACTGCAGCCTTGGAGTAAAACATTGTCCGGGTGTTCCATGTTGCTATGATATCTCATACACCTAGGACGTCTCAAATTCAATATACATTAAAATGTATAAATTTAGAAAAGAATAATTGTGCATTTCACATGCTCACATTTAACAAAATTATGGATGAAAAACTAGACGGAATTCCATATCGAAAAAAAGAAATCGAATTTTGGGTGGTTAAGTGTAAATTTTTTTATTATTATTATTTTTTGTTTTTTTTTTGGGGAAAACAAGTGTAAATTTTGTTTGTCAAAGGATAAATGCATAAAAGGGGAAACTTCCAGAAAAAATATCAAATATTAACGAGCAAGCTCTGAGGGAGTCTGAGACTGAACTCCTCTGAAACTTGGAAGCAGAGATCCCAATTCGCAAATACACAGAACCCAAAATCCGTGTCTAAAAATGTCGACAGAGAGAGAAAGGCACGCTTCACTGCCGTCAACATCGCCGGAGGACAACGCACTGTAAGTCTTCCTCCTCAATCTCCCTCCAATTCCCACACATAATTTGCCAATGCCATCGTTTTCCGCCGCCCGATTCCAAAAACCCCGCCTTTGATTGCGTCTCCACCTTTCAGGTTTTTGGATATCATGCACGAGGCTCCGCTGTTCGGCCACCGGAAGTCGAGAAGCCTCTTCGGAAGCGTTTTCTACTTGATCATACTCGCCGGCTACGCCTCCGTGGCCGTCGCGGCTCCGTGGATATTCCAGGCCATAGAATATTTGATTCCCCAAGTGCTCTGCAGCTGCAACGTGCTTCTTCTGATAGTCACAGGTATTTGTGATTCTTTGATCTGGGCATTCTTCAAATTCAGAAAATTTTCCTGTTTTCGGATCAAAATTTAATCTATAACTTTTTTCAGGCATTTTTCAGCAGTATCTGGTGTACCAGGTTCAGAAAATTCGATTGCAGGTAACCTTTTAGTTTATTTGGATCTCGTTTATCCAAGATGGGTGGGACGCACATTATGCACAGATGCAAATTTTCCAGTAGCTAATAAATCCTTTGAACTATAATTTTTGTTATGTTGGTGCAAAATTGCCACCAACACCACAACATTTCAGAATTGCATAGGTAGAGAGGGAGTGATCGAATGATGAACTTAATAAAACGATACGGCAATGAAATCCAGATCTTGTATACTCGGTTTTTCGTACTTGATCCGGTGAAATCATGTTGTTTCATAAGTGGCAACTTACGTGATTTTTGAACAATGAGATGCAAATTGTTTTGTAGGGTTATTATAGTTTCAGCCAGAAGTTGAAGCATATTGTTCGCCTACCTTTTGCAGCTACTTCATATGGTATGTGGATTTGTATTTGAGTTGTCTGTTTTTCTTCTTTTCGTTTGAAATGTGGTGGCTTCCATTTTTTATCATTACAAAGACCACGCTTCTTTCCTATGAGTCTGCAGTTACAATTTCCCTGAAAAGTACTGTTATCATCATCATTATTATTATTATTATAATTCAGTTTCTGGTATCTTGATTAAATGTTAGGAACTGCTGCATTGTTACTTGTCATGGTCTGGAAACCCCACATCAGTTTCCTTACTCTCCCAGCAATATTGAGGTATAAGAATTACCACTTTATGATGCCGAGCATAATCAATTCCTCATTCAGGATCTGTAGCTGTTATCTCTTTTATAGTTTCTTTTCCCTTTTCCGCATACATAATCTGGACAACATTATTAAGGTGACCATAATATGGGCTAGCTCAAGATGTTGTGTATAATTTTGGTTGGATAAAATTAATACGAAAACTAGTTTATGAATTAGCCTGTGACAGACCTTTTTTACTCATAATCTGCAGGACTATTATGGTAATTGAAGCGATATGTGCCGCATCCTTTATGAGTGTCTATATTGGTGAGCTTAATCCTGAATCTTTTTCATATCTAGCACAAAGTAGAGCTCTAACAGGCACACCTGCGTAAACATGAAATCTTAAACTTGTAGTAGTCTCGCATCTTTATTGCTAATCTTGGTGTTTTCAGGTTATGTTCACCAGTATAACTCATTAAACTCCCAGCCTGATGTCTTAAAGTCATTATATTCTCCTCTTCAACCCTCGAGTTCTTTAGAAGGTTTGAGGTAATCATACAAATTTTTTTTTTTTTATGGTGATCTTGCTTCGTAATTTTATATACAGAAATGGAAGAGAGATCAATCGCCAGAATGTGTGTCAAGAACTTTAACAGTTTATAACCTAAGATATGTCTCTTAAACGGCTATATTTCATCCATCCTAATGGAAGAACACTCATTATGTGTTGTGACAGGTATCATGATGCTGGTCGACTTTCTGATCAGCAAATGGCTCTGTTGCAATATCAGCGTGAAAACCTTCATTTTTTGAGTGAAGAGGTATCTCACCTTGACATTTGTGTGTACTATTGTACTTAATATATTACATGCCGCTCCTTGGGGTTTTCGACTAATGATTTTGGTACTGAAGTGCAGCATGGACAGTTAGGTGTTCCATGATGCATATTAAATTTCTTCAAATCAACAATCTTATTTTATTCTAAACATGTGTTTATCACAGATCCTTCGGTTACAAGAATGCTTAAGTCAATACGAAAGGACTAATGATGGGAGCACACCTCAGGTAATTAGTTACTATTAGTTTCGTATTCTATAGGATATACAAAACTCTTGAAGTGATTCAAACGTGGGCATAAAACTGCCAATGTAATTTAAGCACTGATCTCGTTTCATTCTTTGTGGGATGTGAAAATGGTCAGAACAATGCTTACCGATGTCTGTCTTTGCAGGTTGACCTTGCCCATCTGTTGGCAGCTCGTGATCAGGAATTACGGACGCTTTCCGCTGAGGTAATGGCTGGTTTGCTCTTGATTCTTTATGAAAAAATGTTAGTGTTATGCAATTACCTCGTTAATGTAGCTGATATCTTCTGAACGGACCCTTTCAATGTCTCATTTGCTGCCCTCTTCTACATCGCATAATTGACATTGGGAGGTGACTGAGAGATGTATGTACATTGCAGATGAATCAATTGCAGTCTGAGCTCAGGCTGGCTCGGTCTTTGATAGCTGAGAGGGATTCCGAAATCCAGCAAGTCCGGACCACCAACAATCAGGTTTCCTACTGTATTGTTGTCACAATGACATGTATTTTATAGAATTTTTTTTTGTTTCTTTACTTTTTCTCGTTTCCTAACCACCGTAATTGTAATACTCGAACAGTACGTAGAGGAAAACGAAAGATTGAGAGCCATTTTAGGAGAATGGAGTACCCGAGCAGCAAAGGTATTATCGTCCTACCTTAGTCAATGTAGTTGGGGCATCCGTATTCTTCCCTGTGAGAATTTCTGCTTACAGATATTGTAATTTGTGAAATTAAAGCTTGAACGAGCGCTGGAGGCGGAGCGGATCTCCAATCTTGAACTACAAAAGAAGATTCCGACGCTCAGAAGTCAATCACAATCGTCAGCTGAACCAAGCAAGTAGCTTTTGAGCTTCTGCTTCTTCACATTTTATAGACAATGTCCGTAGTTGTAGTTCTCTTTGATTTCATTAACCTTAGTTTGGAAGAGGAAATCTAGGCGGAGAAATAGACATGAAGCATCACACATGTACAGAACACTTGCGAAGAATGAAATCTATCATCGCCGATTTTACGCAAAATTGAACGGATAAAAGTTTGCATCTGAGAGACGGGCTCGCAAAACTACTTTCGAGTGTCACCACCACACAATCCATTATCCATAGCAACCCAGAGGGAAATGAGGAAAATTTTGCTCATCCGTAATACAACACGGTAAGGAATAACTCATGGCTTGATGACCGAAAACTGCCGGCACAACCTTTAGATTCATTACAAGAGCATTTAGTCCTCTATGGCTCAATTAAAGGGGTCTAACATGAGTGGTTTCGTTCAAAAAGAGGCAACCGAAAACATAGTTGTAAAAGTCGCAAGCTCTAACTAATTCCTGGTTTCCGACTATAGCGTTCATATCATATTTGCATGCCCTTCCGCAGTCCGGACAATAGGTCACCTACAAAACAGTTCAAATTACATTATGTTCGCAAACGTGATATTTTTGTTAGCAGGAAAGTGAGCTTTGCAGCCCTAGCTTACGAAAACTTTTGTACACTTGATACTAAAATCCAAGAATCAGAAAAGAATGTGTGTTTGCTTCCAATACGAACCTCCAGTAACTTTGGCTGGAAAGAACCATCAAGCATGACATCCACCCCATACATGGCCCTCGATGTTGGACTATGCATCTCTGGATGTACTTGTGCAGCTGCCTCAAAAACTGATCGTATCATCTTTGTCACCCGCGAATGAATATCCAACCAGTTAACTACATCAAACACAATTAAAAACGTAAAAATTTAGTCAAGTATGCTTGGCGTGCTAAAAAGCTGAAAACCCTTTCTCTTGAGGGTGAAATCAAGAAAATGAAAACAAACTGGACGCTTCACACCTTTGTGCTCCTGTTCAAATTCCCTCACAAATTCCGATGTGTTCTTGTGATTCAATGTGCCGCGGTAGTTCTGGAAGCCATATAAATGTGATTACGGAGTGTAGAAACATAAATGTCTATCGAATAATTAAAAGAACCAAAGTATAATCCTGCTGCTATTGCATGGTGTTCGGAACATACCATCACAGTAAAGTGAGTCTCATATTCAAATAAACTGTGCTTGTCTAAAGAATATTGGTTGTTCGCCAATCTAACCTGAAATGGAGATTAAAATATTAGTTCAAAAAGAATTCTGAACGACAAAGACCTGAAGAGATGTTCTTCACATCAACACCAGAGAAGGAATAAATATCACATTCACATAATTGGCAATGAGATAGAATCTACTCAACACAGACAGTGTGCATACCCAGAAAGTGTCCGCAAGAAAGATTTCCAGAGGGTTCATACTCCGAACTAAAACTAGGTAGCGGATATCAAACTTTCTCCCTTGGAACAAAGCAGGGTGCTCAATATACTTCTGACATATCTTTGGTCCAGTTTCCATGAGCCGGATAATAGCAGATATATTACTAGTGACAGTTGTATCTATAGTTCGTGCCATATTCCAAGGTTTTAAGATCCATAGATTGTTAAGTCCATCTCGCTTTCGTACACAATAATCACCAATAAGCTGAGATAGATGTGCTTCAAGATTATAGGTAGGCTGCAGCCATTCAGGAGATCCATGTGCCTGTTCATAGGAGAAAAAGATGGAGGTAATTAACCTCATATAGCGGGGTAAAGAAAAAATCATGGTGCTTGACTTTTGGTAAACAATTTCATAAGCAAGCGGATGATGCTGAAGGGAGATGACTAAGATATGTTAACTGCTGATGACAGACAGAGGCGGATTACTGAAAATAGAACTAACACAAGAATTTGATCGCAATGTGAATTTGTTTTTACCTTTTGAATTGTCTCTGCCAAATGATGTTTCATCACAATACAAGCCTCAAAAGGGAATTGATTTACGAACTGATTTTGTGTTATTCCAGTAGCCTTCTTCATATCCTCATCTACCTGTGTACCCGTCCATATGATATCGGCATCCTTCAGATCAGTGGCTGTAAGCACCAACCAGAACACACACAGAGGGAGATGGAGAGATCAGATCATGGCAACATAAATAAAATATTCAAAATGTTCAAAAAGGAAACTTAATCTCAAAGTTATGCAAATCTGAATGGCAGTGCGTACTGATTACAAACTCAGGACGAGTCAAAAGTTCTTCTACTTGAGGTATATCAGTGTACACACGTAAAGCTGATGTTTCACTACGAAGCAGGCTTCTTGCCGGACAGGGCTCTGATGACTGAGAGGGTAAATTTTTTGATTTCAAGCTCATCTGGTGCTTTTCATACTCCTGCAAATATTAGTGGGAATTCATATAATGATATCAACAAACAATTTGAGAAAAATGGAGTATAGCTACAACCAAATCTTAATGTTTTAACAGGTAACCATACTCGAATGAAATAATTCTCTGGTGTATGAAACCAAGCTGTCAGTCTAGCAGAACGTTGTTTATCTTCTCCAATACCAAAAAGATAATCACGTGTGCACTCATAACCTTTTTGAACATTTTGGATTGGCCATAATATGGTGAAGCTGAAATCAATATAAGCAACATTAATGTTAGTTACTGTGGTAGTTTCTCAAACAAATTACATCAAAGGCAAAAATGTATCAGTACAAACTATGCGTATAACATTTCCATGGGCCTTTGTAAAGGACAAAAAGGATTACAGTCGACTAATTCATACTTCAAAGAACCCAGGCTTCTGCATCTACCTTTCAAATTTCCAATTTCACCACATAATCAACAAGAATAAAATTTCCACAGTACATTATAAAGTGCATTCCGAGTTCATATACAGAAGATGAGGAGAATTGGTAACAAAAGCAGAAAAGCAAATGAAAAGGATAAAACTACTACCTCACAGCGGATGCTAGTGTCCCCTCTGGCATGAACAGAAAAGGAGCCACTCTGAAATTTGGCTCATCACTATGCCGCAAAGCTGAACCAAGCTCATCCATCACATACCTACAAAAAAACTCCAAAGCAAAGCATCATCAGTTAAATGAGGCAATTAGTTATTATATGCAATTTATTTATTTTGTGTGAAGATAGCGATCCCAATATTTATTTTATATGCAATTTATTTATTTTGTCCAAAGCAAAATACTGACGAACAGAACCAAAGTGCAGCAATATGCAGTGGTCCACTATAACTATGCTTTTCTACTTTAATAATCTACCGCTTTGTTCATGGATATATTCAAATGTATGAATCACAGTTTTCGTTGGGATTGAGAAGCATACCATACAGAGGTCTCATCTATCTTCTCCTCATTTGCAAGTCGATATGTCATTAAGTACAGCCACATTGCACTTATAACACGATCAGTAAGAGGCTCATCCGCAGACCACTCAGGAAGACGAGGTTGAAGTGCTGAGTCAACTACATCCCTTTCAGTTTCCAGTACTTTTGATGCATTAACACCATTCAGCACTGACACATTAGGAAGAGATTCAAGAATTTGTACAGCGCTTTCTCCAAGAGGACCAGGAATATCCACCTATAAAATAAGTTTAAATTCTAATTATCCTAAATTTTATAGTCAATGAAGGAACCCCTATGCTAGAAAAAATGATCCCTAAAAGTATTACCTGCAGAGACTGTAAGGAAGGAAAATTCCTGAGTAAGTGTAACAAGTCACCCGCTGAGGTCTCATCTAATGGATTTCCACGAAGATTCAAGTATGAAAGACACGGAAGTTGAGCAGGTGAAAATGCCTGAAAAAAAAAAGTACCCACATCGGTGAATGCAGCTAGATTGACTGATCCTTTAAGCATGTTCTTTGAATCTAAAAATTCTGCATTGTCCATTACTATTTACATGGCAAAATAAAGTATCGACTTATTCACCAAAAACAGTAATGGGTAATGAAAAAAATGGGAGATATAGAAAATACCTGAAACTTGTTGAATATGTTGTGAATACATCTATTCGAAAGATCAAGATCAGTGATTTGATGGACCGAGTTGTCAGGCTGATCAATGCTGCCTGGATTTTCCTTGTCGTATACTCCTCCACAAAACCCCACTGCCCACTCACCAAAATTGGAGGTAAATCTCGAGTTATATATTTCAAGACTCGGCATTTCCCGCAGAACTTTATCCGCCAATTCATGGCCACTACATTAAAAAACAATATCTCTCAGCAACGAATTGTTGAGTTAAATCAAGAAAGTAACAACATTCTATACATCGAAAAACGTACATACCGATTTTGTACAACTGGATTATTGTCCAGCCACAAAGCTTTCAGATTTTTGAATTTGGTAACTTCCTGAACAACTACTTCCACACTCTCAAGCTTATTTCCACACAAAGAAAATGCAAGCAAATCCTAAACGTAAAAAATAAAACTTTAATATATAAAAAATATATTTCAAAATAATACTAATTGGGTTTTGTAGGGTTTTAGAAATGACATACTGGGAACTTGGCAGCTAAGTCCAAAGACGACAGCGTTTCATCGTCCATGTCAAGGTCTTCAAGCTCCAGCCACCTCACATTCCCTCTGGCTTCAGCGATTTCACTTTCCAGCACCTCCAAAACGCTGCGTTTTCCATTGCTCTCCCGATTCTCGTCCGAATCGGAATTCAAATCGGTATCCAAGCACATTATCGCCGCCATCCTCTCAGCCAATCCCGGAACTTCCCTCAACTGCGAAGCCAAACAAACCCCGAGAATATTAAATCTTCATTATTTGTCAAAAATTTCTCGGCAGCCAAACAGAGTGTAAGAAAATAAGGGCAGTTACAGTTACAGTTACAGAACCTGTTTGTAAGCGTCGGAGAGGCGGAAAGTCCAGGCGTGGTCGACGAGGAAGACGTTGGAGTGTGCGGGCATGGAGTCGGAGGTCAAAACAAGGCGCCGCTGGCGGCCGTCTTCCGTCGGCTCGATTTGGAAGTGGGACCCGCCGTCGAAGCTCTCCGATAGAAGCTTCTGGAAGAGCTGGCGGTGGAGGGACTGCGGTAGTCCCGAGGCCGCCAGAAGCAGGCCGTGAACTTTGACGAAGTCTTCGTAGGTTTCGATTTTCGACATTGCGACTGTGGGATTGGATTGAGAGGGAAGAGGTTTCAGTGTCACTGCTGTGAAGTCTGTGACTGTTTCTCGCTGTTTATGGCGGCTGAGAGCGTGAAAGAAGAAGAGGAAGATTCTAGTTTCAGAAGATTTTAGATTGGTCTGGGCTTTCTGACTGGGCCACCGTTGGAGTTTTTTATTGGGCCATGTATTGTGCTATTTTGGTTGAGTCCAATATTGGGCCCACTTTACTACAAGAAGGCTTATTCTTGAAAATTTTACTGGGTGTATTTTTTCTTATTATCCTTAAGCAGTGGTAATACTCATTATTTCATTTATTACCATCGGATAGGTTTAATTTTTGAGATTTTTGTCGCAACTCGACAAATTTTGAAATTCAAAGTCATCTAATGATGATAAATAAGATGATGAGTATCACCATCAGTTGAAGACGGTGAGCAAAAATATTTCCAAATCTATGCAGTTTGTTCAAAACTTGGAAGTCAAATCGGTGTGTGTTAACCATAGCACAGTTATCCATACTAATGTATCAAAAGATTACAATACTCAGAAGGAAGAAGAAGATCTTAAGAGAGAAAAGAAATAGAGAGAGAGAGATAGAGAGATAAAATCTTTCTGTATATTTTTCTTATTGTGTTTGTGATTGCTGCATACTCTTTATATCCTTTTACAAGAGTTAGTTACATTTGTCCTGATCTATACAACTTGGACTAACTAACTAACTAATTCTTGTAATCTATCCTTTCAGCTTTTTACACATGTCACAATCCTGATGGCTTGATTATGTATACTCTAACATCCCCCCTCAAGCTCATGGGTGGAGAAACCAAGCGTGAGGTTGCTGCAATGGGTGTGAAACAGAGGTGTACTGAGGCCCTTAGTGAAGATGTCTGCAAACTGTTCCGAGGAAGAAACAAATTGAACCAGGAGCTTCTTGCTTGCAACCCTTTCACGCACAAAATGAACATCAACTTCAATGTGCTTCGTGCGCTGATGATTGATTGGATTAAAAGAAAGTGCTATAGCAGACATGTTATCACAGAATAACACTGGAGGAGCAGAAGGTTGTATCTGCAAGAAGACAAGTAATTGTTGAATCCAATCTAATTCAGCCGTTGTAGTAGACAGGGCTCTATATTCAGCCTCAGTGGATGAACGAGAGACAGTTTGCTGCTTCTTAGAGGACCAAGAGATTGGGTTATTGCCAAGAAAAACAACCAAACCCGTAGTTGAACGTCTATCATTGGGATCCTCGGCCCAGTCAGCATCACTAAAGGCTTTAAGAAGTAACTCTCCTTTACTATAAGTAATGCCTTTAGACAATGACCCTTTGAGATACCTTAATATCCTTTTAACTGCAGTGAAGTGGGAGAGCATTGGGGCTTGCATAAATTGACTAACCTGATGCACAGAGAAAGCAATATCAGGTCTGGTGAACACAAGGTATTGTAAGGCTCCAACCACACTCCGATAAAGACCTGGATTATTAAACGGCTGACCATCATCTTTGAGGAGTCTATTATAAGGCAAACACGGTGTGACTGCAGGTTTGGCATCTGTCATGTCAGTCTTCTTCAACAAGTCAACAATATACTTCTCTTGGGACAGAAACAAGCCGTGATCAGTTTTTGAAATTTGAATGCCCAAGAAGAAATGTAAGGGACCAAGATCCTTAAGCTCAAACTCATTGGTTAAAGCTGCAACAACCTGTTGAATAGCAGAGGATGCATTTCCAGTAATTATGATATCGTCCACATATAAAAGAAGAACCACAATAGCACCATCAACAGGTTTAACAAACAAAGACAGATCTGAAGGAGTGGTTTGAAACCCCAACTGTGGTAAGAATTGAGTAAACCTATCATTCCAAGCCCTTGGTGCTTGTTTAAGACCATATAGGGATTTTTGTAACTTGCAAACCAGAGAAGGAAACTGAGGATCCTCAAAACCTGGAGGTTGAGACATATAGACCTCCTCATTTAAAATGCCATGAAGAAAGGCATTCTTCACATCTAGTTGGCGTAATGGCCAATTATAATGAGCAGCAAGAGCAAGAATGAGTCTTACAGTTGTTGGTTTAACAACCGGGCTAAATGTCTCACCATAATCCAAACCTGCTTCTTGACTAAACCCTTTGGCGACCAACCGAGCCTTATGTCTGGCAATACTCCCATCAGCATGTCTCTTCACTTTAAAAATCCATTTACACCCAACCAGATTCTTATTAGGAGGGAGAGCAACCAAACTCCATGTTTTCTGAGAATAAAGAGCATTAAGTTCCTCCTTCATTGCATTGAGCCATACTGGAACCTTTAGTGCAGACTTATATGTTGCAGGTTCAGTGGTAGTCAAATCAACCACTGTGGAGGTGTGTGCAGCAGCGAAAAACACCTTTTTCTTCACAATTCCACTCTTGGAACGAGTTTGCATTGGATGGAGATTTACTGGTGGGATATCAAGGACTACTTGTAAACTTTCTGGATTATGATCAGGAACCACAGGAGCAGGAGAGTCTTGTGCAGCAATGGACTGGGGTGAGGATGATGACTGAGAAGAGGTAGACGGTTCATGGGCTAGAGAAGGAGGAGAGGATGAAGAAACAAGAATATTTTGCAAGGTTGGCAGCACAATAGGTAGGCTTGGTGTATTAATATCAGGTTTTACTCTTGGAGACTGTGAACACTGTGACTTAGAACTTAAAGCACTGTATGGAAAGTCAAGTTCATTAAAAATGACATGTCTTGAAATATATATCTTTCCAAGAGTAAGTTCAAAGCATATATATCCCTTATAGGTGGATGCATATCCCAAAAAGAGACATTTTGCAGACTTAGGTTGTAATTTGTTGCTGTTGTAAGGTTGTAAAAGTGGAAAACAAGCACAACCAAAAACCCTTAAGTGCTGGATTTCAGGAATAGCAGAATATAAAAGTTCAAAAGGTGACTGATTTTGAAGAATGGAAGATGGCATTCGATTGATCAAGTAGATGGCAGTTTGGCATGCAAAAGACCAAAACTTAGAAGGTAAATGTGCATTTTGTAACAAAGTGAGAGCTGTTTGAACTACATGTTTGTGTTTTCTTTCAGCCAAGCCATTCTGTTCAGGTGTATAGGGACATGATTTATGATGAGAAATGCCATGTTGAGCAAGAAAAGACTGCATAGGTTTACAAATATATTCACCCCCCCATCACTTTGTAATATCTTAACTCTTGCTGAGAATTGAGTAAAGATAAAATGGTAGAATTTAACAAACACTGAACACAGATCAGATTTATTTATTAAGGGAAATAGCCAGCAGAATCTGGTACACTCATCAACAAAGAGGACATAATACTTGAATCCATCCACAGATACACTAGGTGCAGGTCCCCACAAATCACTATGAACAATTTCGAATGGTATTACAGATTTTGTAGACGTATGAGAGAAAGGAAGTTTACTAAATTTCCCTTCTAAACAACTTTGACAAACAGTAGGTGACACATCTGTTTTAACAGCAACTTTTGACTTTCGAAGGATAAGAGAAACTATGGGATTAGAAGGGTGACCTAGTCTGCAATGCCATAAGGTTGAATTCACAGCATGTCCAAGAAGAGCAACAGGTGGATGAACTTGTAGATGAGATGATGAACCTGATGGTAAATGAGGAAAAGAAGGTATCGGATACAGTCCATTGTTGCAGTGTCCTTTATACAAGACTCTCCCTGTGGTTTTGTCCTGAATCCAAAAACAATAAACATCGAATATTAGCCAACAATTGTTGTCAAAACATGTTTTATGAACTGACAACAAATTATGCGACAATTTTGGAATGTAAAGAACAGAATTTAATCGGAGAGACTGCGATGATGGCTGAATAATAGAGTTCCCAATATGAGAGACTTGCAAACCTTCCCCATTTGCTGTTTGAACAGTCTCATTAGTTGGATATGGAGATGCTAGAGACAAATTACTGAGATCGTTTGTCATGTGATTAGTAGCACCGGAATCTGTCAGCCAAACTTGTGGAGTTGCAGAATTGGATAGGACAGGAACATTAGAAGTAGAGGCATGCATATAGGCAGGAGCATATGCACTAGAAGTGGCCATATGTGCAGAAGGTTGAAGAGTTGGTGCACAATTAGAAGACACCATATTCATCATAGTAGACATGTTTGGAGAGACCACAGGCATCATAGGAGACATATATGGAGGCTGCATATAACCAGGAAACATAGCTTGCATAGCAGTCATTTGTGAAGGTTGAGATCGATTCTTATTCCTATAAAAACAGGTTTTGGCAGTATGATTACTACGATCACAGATTTGACATTTCTCAGAAGTCTCAGATGTGTCAATGTTTCTATACACACATGTAGCAGCACTGTGTCCATGTTGAGAACAGAGTTGACATACAACATCATGAAGCTGAGAAGGATTACCAAGAATTCCAGGAGTAAAATCATGAACCACAGGTTTCGAATTGAAATACCTTTGTCCCTGATTATTAAAATATTTCTGACCCTGAAAGTTCCCAGCTTTGCCTTTACCCTTGTACTTAGACTTGTGACCATTATTAAAGAACTGAGAGGAATTCCCATGATAACCATTTGAACCCTGTGATCCAAAATTAAAGACTCCCTGAGATTCAGAAAATGGGACCCCAGCACTAGAACCTTGATTCTTGGCAAACAATGCAGTAGAAAATTGTAAACTTTGACTGTTCTCAATAATTGCTTCTTCTGCAAGCAATTGAGCCCGGAATTCTTTAAGAGAAATCACATTCTCTCTACCACGAATTACACACCGAAATGTGTTATACTCCGCTGATAAACCATTCAAAGCCAAAATAACAATATCTTCATCTTCAAAGTTAACCCCTGCAGCTGCAAGATAGTCCCTTGCCTCTTTAATTCTCTGAAGATACTGAGTCACAGAATCTGCCCCTTTCTTGATGTTCTGAAGATCAGACTTGAGTTGAAAAATCGAAGTCTTGCTAACCGTGGAAAACCGTTCTTGAAGACGAACCCACAAATCTCTAGCACTGATACTCCCAATCGCACAAGAAATAGCAACAGACGATAGCGTTGCAGTGATAAGCTGCATAAGAGCCCTATCATGCATCTTCCATACTTTGTAATCATCCGTCTCAATCCTTGAACCAACACCACCAGATAAAGCTGCAGAATCACTCGAATATTGAGGTGGACAGCAAGTCGATCCATCAATAAAACCCATTATCCCATATCCTTCAAGCATCAACTGCATTTGAAAATGCCATTGAAGATAGTTAGAATCATCCAACTTAACCGACACAGAGGATGATACAGAGGAAATCAACCCAGTAATCAGAGACTGTAAGATTTGTAGTTGAGAAGCTGTAACCATTATGAAGAATTGTCTCTGAAGAATAAAAACAAACACTTGGTAGGCAAGAAAAACCCAACCAAGTCAGAGACCGTAAGAGCGAAGAGAAATGCCCAGAAAACACAAAGAAGCCACACAGAGATAAGAGACGACGCGGAAGCACAATAACCAGAAACGAAGAAGCTGTCTAAGCAATTCGGGCGATTGATACCATGTTAACCATAGCACAGTTATCCATACTAATGTATCAAAAGATTACAATACTCAGAAGGAAGAAGAAGATCTTAAGAGAGAAAAGAAATAGAGAGAGAGAGATAGAGAGATAAAATCTTTCTGTATATTTTTCTTATTGTGTTTGTGATTGCTGCATACTCTTTATATCCTTTTACAAGAGTTAGTTACATTTGTCCTGATCTATACAACTTGGACTAACTAACTAACTAATTCTTGTAATCTATCCTTTCAGCTTTTTACACATGTCACAATCCTGATGGCTTGATTATGTATACTCTAACAGTGTGCCATCATCTCTTACGTCCTCTAAATTCTCCACATTCAACCCCCCCCTCTCTTCTCCTATGCAAACATTCTTGTTCCAAAGGTATTGAAGATTACTTTAATGTTTTTATTTTAACTTCATTTTTAGTGCATGTTGCTTTGTCAAAAGAAAAAATAGTTGCACAGAATTTGGATCATTAACTTCCATTTTAGTCCAATGACCTACTTTTCCCATCCATGCAAAATCTAAATATATACGAATTACTCGTAAAATATATTTATTCAGTAATTTTAGATGTTTAATTCTTGCAATGGTAATTTAAGTGCGTTTGAATTGACTTATACGTGTCTGTTTCGTTTTAAATATTGTCCTCTTATGTATGACAATTAGTATTCATGAATTACAATTTATTTACGATTTTATACGTGATAACCAATGGATTTTTGCATGTATATATAAATGCTCTATTCACACAAGATTGTCAAGTTTCCTTCGATAAATAAAGCAACTTATGTAGCATGTGTCCACAGCTATTGTGATGTTTACATATGATTATGTTATTAACATAGAACTTCACAATGACAATGTATGTAAGTTTTTTATGCCAGAGATATTTGTTGTCAAGTAAAAATGATATTGTGGTGGGTCCACCTATAAGAGAAAATTAGAAAAGAAATGTAGATATTAAGGGAAACCATGTTCTAGTGAAACCCGCAAACAAGCATGTAAATCAACCCATGTGCCAATCGTGATTATCAAAAATCACAGTGGAAGCCACCATTCCACGCATCCTATTCACACAAAAAAATTGAACCAAATTTCCTCGTACATCCTCGGAACCCTACAAAGCATACCATGAGTCCACCACCACATAGGCAGATTGTATGTCCTCCTGTTTGGGTATCTTTTTTATCTCTTTTTATTTATGCGGTCACAGTTAAATCAGGTAAATATTTTATATTTTTATTACTTTTTGTCTTATTATTTCTATAAAAAAAAAAATCAATATAAAATATTAACGTGGTTTAATCATGACTGCATAAAATAAAAGAGAATAGGAATAACATTCAAATAGGAAAGCAGACAATCTACCTTTATCCACCACACCCAAAATCACCCCAACAACCCAAATTCATATTTTAAAAAAAAAATGATTAAAAAAGTGGATAATTAAGTATGAAACCAGATAACTTAGTTTTCTGTTCCCCACACGCCTCATATTCCCATATTTTGTTTTCATGTCAGGATAAGGTTCGCCCTCACTCAGTTATTCTCTTTTTTACTTCTTGGTTATCTATTTACTCAAACAATAGCATATTGGCATAAATACTTTTTCAATATAAACATTCATGGAATCAGCTGGTTTTGTCACGTCGGTAGAAGACTCACAGATCCATTTTAATCTTTATCTAATCGTTATCATATAATTGATCAACAGTAAAATCAATTTAAAACGTGTAATGTGAAGTACCAATCTGAATTTTATCTCCACCACCCCCCCTTGGTATATTTAATACGACTCATTTTAGTGTTAATATCCCATCTCAGTCACATTTTCCCTCTCTCTGTTTTCCTTCTATCCAAAATTCGCACTCTTTTCTTCTAATCCAAAATCTCTCAACTTTTGAACCAGGACCCAGCCCACATCATGTCAATCGCTCTACAGAGAAACGGCGGTGGCGGCCATAATATGAACCGACGGCCGAGGTTCATCCATGGGGCGCCTTGCATCCCCATCTACAACTCGTCCGAGAATAAAGGGTTTGCTCAAGATCGTCGTCTTGACCAGGAGGACTCTTGCAGCAGCTCGTCGTCTTCAGTTGGAAGGAACAGCGACTCGTCTGATGGGTCGTCGGAGGGGGAGGAATCCGGTGAGACTGAGGTGCAGAGCTCGTTTAAAGGACCGTTGGACACCATGGACCAGCTCGAGGAGGTTTTGCCGGTCAAGTATGTTACTTGGTACCTTTTTCTTTATAGGTTTTGAACTTCTGATTTGAATGATCTGGATTTTGATTGGTTGGAGTTGAAGTTTTAGTTAATTAGAAAGTTGGATTTTGATTGGTTGGTTTTGTGGTTTTACTGAATTAGCAAGTTGGGTCTTTGATATAATCTGGATTAAGATTGGTTGGTGTTATATTTAATTGAATTGGGTTTGGTAATTTTAGATAAAGTCTGATGCTTTGATTGTTATTTGAGCATATTATTGCTTTTTGTTGAAAAAAAAAAATTAGAGCTTGAAAGTTATTAGCATGTGGGTTTGTTAATGATTCAGTAATTTTCAGAATCTTCGAAAGATGCAAACTAAAAAAGAAGGAACGGAAAGAAGCAATTATGACTGAACGGCGATAAAATGAACGGTTCTGATTATGACATGATTAGGATTTGTTAATCACAACTGGGTGGATTCCCAAATATTGTTGTAAGAAATTAAGATTAAAGGCTCACTCATTTCTCAAAAATTTGGATTTGTTTGTATGTTTGTTTGGTTTCGTGAAACTAGAGGAAACGAGAAGAATATTAAATGTTTGAGCGTTGTGGATGCTCTTCTTGTTTGAGCATTGAAAAGGGAAGTCAGTCAAGATACGTTGTTGGCAATGTCTAATTTTCATTTGGATTTTTGTTTGTTGTCACTTCATTGTTTTCTTCCTTTTGGTCTTTACGATCCTCTGGTGATGAAATATGTTTGAAATTTATTTTTCTACCTTATCTGGTCTTCTCAGCAACCCACAAAGCATTTAGAAAAACTTTTGAGGGTGTCGTGGTATGGCGGCGATGCAATCACAATATAGTTCTTATACCCTTTTTGTCATGTAAGCTGATAAGCTTGTAGTTATCTTTTTTTACTTTTGTTGAAGTTTATTGACACACAAGCCTGAATTGATGTTCAGTCTTTAATAAAAGAGGAAAATTGAGTTCTTGACTCTGTCTTATTAGGAACTTGATAAGTTCAAGTTTCAAACTTCTCTAATGGTTTAAAATGTCTTAATGGTTGAACGAATTAGGCTGAAACAAACAGGAGGGTGGGATCGATTGACATAAAAATGTCTTTGGTTAAAAGTATTGCTCAAAAGTCAAAACGCCTTGAAAGGGAGGCACTTCACACTCCTTCCAAAGCTTCCATGCCTTGTGCAAGCTTTTGTGGCTTCGTTGTTTTGCTTCACACGAGAATAAAATTTTGTTTGTGTGGCAATATTTAGCCATTATGGTAGGATTAGATGAATCTTGAAGATCATTAAGTACAATCGACGAGCTCAAGAACTTTAATTACATATATTATCTTATTTGTTTCATGCATTTTGATTTGTGATATATTTATAATGTCTTCTTTCTTATTTCAGGAGAGGTATATCCAAGTTTTATAGTGGTAAATCAAAGTCCTTTACAAGCCTAGCAGATGTCTCGTCTGTTTCTTCTGTCAAGGAACTTGCAAAGCCAAAAAATCGTTATACAAAGAAGCGCAAGAATTTATTAGCCCAGAATTATTTTCAGGATAAAAACTGCAATGACTCTATGACGAATAATGGTGTTGTGATATCAAAGAGGCCAGCTGCTAACCCTAGTCGAGGATCGTTTATTATTGGGGAGACTTTGAGCAGCTCTCCTAGCTATAGCAACGGGGAGGGATCCAACTCCATTTCACCATCACCTTCTTCCTGTCTTCCACCTCTGCCTCCACACGGTAGACAATCACCTGATAATGAACCATCGCCACCTCTTCCTCAACGGAGTTCTCCTTGGCGATCATTCTCTCTTTCTGATCTGCAGTGCATTGCTGCAGCAACACCTGACATAACTGGCATGCGAGTTTGAAGCGGGGAGGACAACAATCTACATTGACATTTTAGCTTTCCATCCCTTTTGCACGATTCTGGAAGAATGTTGGTTGTGTTTAAGTTTGGTCTCATGGGGTTTTCCACTGTAGTTGGGCATCTTGAAGATCGAATCAGAGTTAAAGTATTCGCTACGTATAGGATTTAGTTGTTAAGTGATGACGATAATGTGTCATTTTGTATCATGCAAGCATCAATTTTATGTTTCTGTTTCCGAATTTGGGAATGTTTTCCATCTTTTATAGACGAACAAATTTATTGACAAAGTTGGTTTTGCTTTTCCTTATATCCAATTTAGTTGTTCAATTCAATGCTCGTCCTGGGAAAGGCTTACGGTTGATACTTAGGCACCCGTAGACGGAGAAAGGTTGCCGAAAGTGATGAATGCTCGAAATGCTTGAAGAACGAAACAATTTTCAGAGATGTTAGTGGTACTTGGAAATAATCATCCTAGTGATGAAATGCTCGAGGAACGACATAGATTCTAAGATATGTTATTGACATTCAGAAATATCGTGGAGGAACAATTCACAATGTTCTTAAAAGGAAAGGTCGCTTGTGTAGATGCACTGAGCGGTTCTATTCATAATACAGTGATAATTTGGAAGGGTAATGACGCTTTGAATGGGTATTTCTCTCTCTAAACTGATATAGTGATATAGTCACATACTGTCCTTTTAAACTGTTAATAGATCAAGGGATAGGAAAATGAAGGGGAAAAAATGATAGCAGCTTCCGAGTTCTGTTGATATAAAATAAACAAGAGTAATAAAATTGATCTCATCTCTTGTGAATAACTTCATTGTATATATTTCATGATCGCGTACCGTTTATTTTCAAACATATATATGCAATCATAAACTGAACGATTCTGATCATAAAATTTATACGGTGAGAATATGATATTTGCAAGGAATATATGCATTTCTCAAGGATATGTGCGTTCCCCGTATAGACACGAACCCCCCTCATTACCTTACGTGCGACTCTCACTGCATACGGCTCGTACAAAAACTCCTAAATTTATCTCGAGCCTTATATAGGGATGGAAGTATTATTCAAAAAAATTTGTCAAGACGGCTAGATAACAATATAACATATTGAAAACATTACACTCTAATTTCTCTAATTGAGTTACAAGACATCAAAATGTAAAGTTAAAAAAGGAAAGCAAACTTGAACCAAGTTAAAAATAGAAAAGAATCCTAATCTCTGTCCTATTAGTAAACAACACTTGTAGACGGCTACATTACGAAAAGACTATATCTCGCCAAGACAATTTCTCCAACTGAGTTACAAAAGCGTAATCCTAAAACAAAACCCTAAACCCCCTTTGTCCTAACAGGACACAATGCCCCAGTATAAAAACAAATCAAACTGGTAACTCGCTAACTTTTCCAAAATTTCTAGTTCTGACACCGGATAATGGAGATAAAAAAGAAATTACAAATAAACGCTTAAAGATAAACAACTCGCCACTCTAAGGAATTCACCAAAGAGATAAGAGTTTAAGGATAAGAAGAAAACACTCTTCACTAAACCAAGTTTAAAAGTAATTATTAAATTATGAATGATCAATTTCTATACATGAGTAAGATTTTGAAATTGTCTAGGCATGGAACAACCTTCCATGAATAGTTTACCCTTATTAATGGTGATACATAACCATGACTTAAAAATATGCATGAACTTATTTAATACAAATCATGAATTTAAATGAAAACATTGAACAAACTTTTAACTAAAGATGATAAATGCACCGTCTTATAATTAGACGAGTCTAGATTTGGTATCATATGCCTAATAGTGATCAAGCACTTCTTGGTTCGTTGTTGTTTATGGAATAGTGGGTTTTGTTTCAACTTCCACAGAGAGAAAGAACGTTGCATCGTGGAGGACATTTGTGAATACAAACCTTGAGGCTCTTCGACGGAAAATTTTGTCTTAAGAACATAGTATCAAATACTACCCTTGAATTGAAAATTTTAACAATTTGACCCTAATTTTCCAACAAATTACTCATTTCAAACACTACAAATTCCTGCAATTTCAACTAACATCCTTTAATTAATTTTTGTGCAGCTTCTTCTGCAGCAGAGGAAAACGCAGAAAATGCATGAAACAGACTGGTCGCTAAGTGTTGAGATTCATGCACAGCCGTTTTACGGAAAACTGAGAAAAATCTGCAGTAATCAAGCCAATCAGCCAACTCAGGCACCCACGATAAAAACCATATTAACTGATAAAGCCACCCATTGACTGGCCAAACATCTGTAAAACTTTCAGATGAACAAATATATATGTATATTAAAATCAAATCTAATAGTCAAGAGAATTTCCTTTTTTTTTTTTTAAATGGAAATCCCTTCTTTTAAAGGACATGTATATATGTATATACACACACATGCAAAAAAAAAAAAATGTAAAAAAGAGAATACAAGTTTTTCTCAGGAGAAGGGGAAAAGCCGAGAGGTTTAATGACACCAAGCGACAATGCCATAATAAAAGTTGGAAGCAAACAATTTTTTTTTGTTTTTCCATAAATGATTTCTTGCTTCAAAGTAATATCTAGAACAAACAAAATCCTCTCAAAAATTGATAAGAACACCCACATTGTGATAGGACCTCAGCATCGGTTTCGAATTTCTGGACTGCCAGTCTCACTCCTGCCTTTAAATCTTCTGGGTGCCTTCAGTTGTGAGAGAAGACAAACACAGAGAACCCATCCCAGGCTCCCAGCAGAAGAACAGCTTCAAAAGGTTCGATTTTTATCTCCAAAACCTCATATTTTTTAATTTTTGTTTTATGGGTTTCTTTTTTTTCATCTGATTCTTTAACTTTTACGACAAAATGTTCATTTTTTTTAATTTTCTATTTTCTGGGTATTTTGTAACCTCTGTGTTTTCCCGACAAAAAAAGGTAGCAGCTTTCTACGTTTTGGAGCTGCGGAAAGACATGGCTTCGAGGTTTGCGCTTTTCACAGAGGAGAAGTTCAAACGGTTTCACAGCATCGACCGAAATCTGTACACAATTCTGGTGCTGAAGCTCTTCCGGGACCCACTGGAGTCCATGCAGGTACTGGCCCTGTGGCTCTGGCTGGAGAGAGTTGGGTTCAAGAACGTGGTGAAAAAGATGCTCTCTTTGCCCTACATTTTGATCAACGAGCTCGCTGACGAGTCCGTCACTTGTCTCGAACTCATCAGCGGGACCCATTTCTCTCTTCGGTCTGAGCAGACTGACATCCCACTCATACAGAGTTTTATAGAGAAGGAAATCTCAGTCCAGTTTTTTCACCAGAACCGGGACGCAGCGGCTCGAGACGTCACTAAGGCGGTCAACGAGGTCTGCCTCCCGGCTTTCGACGACATCATGCAGAAGGCAATGCAGCGCGATTGTGCTCAGAACTCTGCGGATCACAGTCACGTAGTGTTACCTTCACAACCATCGTCTTCGTCTTTATTCCCATTTTCTCTTTCAATTAATCAGCAACCTCTGCAGAGGAACGAGGCGACGCCACCACACGACAGGACGATGTTTGTGACGTTCTCAAAAGGGTACCCGGTGCAGGAGTCCGAGGTGAGGCAATTTTTCAAAATAACTTTCGGGGCTCGAATCGAGTCTGTGCAGATGCAGGAGGTGCAGCCATACGAGCAATCACTGTTTGCGAGAATTGTCTTCCACTCTCCGGCGACGATCGAGGCCATACTCAACGGGATGAGCAAAGCCAAGTTCACAATCAATGGAAAACACGTTTGGGTGAGGAAATATGTGCCGAGAAGGACACGATCTTTGCTTCCACCAATGCTTTGGCAACCAGCAATTGCTCCTTTTTGGGGATGAATTGGTTTAGAAGGTGGTGGACTTTTGTAATTATATGGTGAATGTTTGATGAAATAAATGAAAGTTTGGAACTTAATTTGTATCGACCTTTATGTAACATCCCACATCGTCCAGGGTAGTGATACTTAAATGTATATTTCTATCCCTACCTAGCACGAGGTCTTTTGGGAGCTCACTCGCTCGTGCTAGGTAGGGATGGAAATATACATTTAAGGATCACTATCCTGGACAATGTGGGATGTTACAATTATATCCTTTCAAATTTTGCAATCTTTATTGTTTTTTATATACATTTATATGACCATTTTAATATGGATGAGACCCACGTAAATTGATAAATCTTACCTATATTAAAAATATAGTACAGATGATGACATAAATATTTGTATAATCTTTTTAACAAAAATACTAGTCTTACCACATAGTTATATCATCTCTCCAATAGAGACGAGACCAACATGCATTGGTGGGTCATATCTTAATAAATAGATGGTACAAATAAGTGGTAAGAATAACATTATTCTCTCTTTAATATAGATAGTGATATAGAGCTCAATAACATATGTGAATCTCATCTCCATTAAAGAAATGATGCAAATATATGATAAGATTTAAGAGTAGCATTTTTTATTTTATAACTAAAATATAAAGTGAATAAGAAAATAATTTTTCTATTTAAACATCACTATCCATCTACACTCCACTAAAAAATTTGAATTTTGGCCTTTTCTAAGAACACCACTATTGCTACCAAATTGCCCTTAAACACCAACACACCACTCCACACCCGGCATTATGAGAATTTTCCGGTTCGGGTCTAATTCGATTCATTATTGGATTATCAATGAGCTTATGATATCTCATTGATAATCCAACATTGCATTTATGAATACATTGCGGAAGATATGTCAAATTTATTACTTTGTTGCGCAATTCCAATAGATATCATAATTACATAGAAATGCTATATTTGAGTCATAAGTTGAGACCCAACTCTTGTTAGTTGTCAAGGATTAAGAAATAAATGTCTTTAAATTTACTTAATCACGAGAATGTGATAAGTGATCAATGTATAAACCAAATAAAGAGAACAGATTTAGACAACTCGTTTGTGTAATTAGCAAAACTACCAATAAAACACTTGTTTTCTTTGAGGGAAAAAGAGCTATAAAAATACTTGTTTCTTGGTTCAAAAGGTACAGATTCAATATATTTACCGTGAAAAGAATTTTGTTGTTGATGATTTAGCTCATTTGGGTCAAGTATTTTTTAGCAAGCTCATCATTCTTGTAGTCAGTTGTTAGTTGCATATATGGTTAAAGTTACATACTCTCGTGATATTCTTATGTAAGCTTTCTTTTTCTTTTAGGCTTACGCCTCGTTATTAACCGAAAAAAAGGAGTTGTTTACTATTAAGTAAGATGAAGAGAAATTAAGAGTAAGATTTAGGAAACTAAAACACGGTCATGGTTGATGTAACCAAATTTAGTTTCTAATTAAGAAAACAAAGCTTCTCTAAATGGGTGATTTAACTTTTGTAACTTGGAAGGTCATAGTCTAACCAAAGATTGGAACTTTAAATTTGGAATGAAACAATGACAATCCTTCATCACTACTCACTAGTAAATGGCTTCATAATACCTTTGACATTTTGAGTAGGATCTTAATGAAGAGGTAGCACACCCAAGCCACTACTTGGAACACGTGCCTTCTTCATCATGCCATTAAATAAACTTGAAGTCCTCAATTTTTTTGTAAATTGAGAATTTAAGATGTCATAAATTTAATGTATTTGAGTTCGACTTTTCTTATAATTTTGACTAATATGAACTAGAATATTACAGCAGATTGCACTTAGCTAAATGGGCTAAAGTGGTGTTCTTTCTCGTCAATATCCAAGTTTGGATAACTATCTCTATAGTTTAGATAAATTTTTTATTTACAACATCGTTTGTTAAAAAAAAATAAAAAATTGAAGGCTTGGTGGGCCACACATTGTAGAAGCCTTTGGTGGGCCACTGTCAACCAAAATGAACCCCATCTTTCATTTGACAATTTGTAGACAATGACCCAATGGACCTTCATCCTGATGGATAGGCTCTCTCCCTCTCGTTTCCCCTCACAGTGCAGAAGCAGAGGGCGGGTGCTCCAAAGCCTGGTCGTACAGTTCACGGTTCTGAATTTATAAAAGAAAAAAATGGATTGGGGTTCGAATGGAGAAGAACCCACTTCGTGGGAAGAAAATTACAGTGTAAATTTGATTCCATCGGAGTTATTTTTCAAGTTCCGGAAAGAAGTGCAGGGTTTAAGGGTCGGCCTCAATCTGGAGGTATGAAATTTCAATCTCCTCAAGATTTTTACTGTTTTTTTACCTGTCCAGTTCAAGGGTTTGAATTTTTTTTTATAATTCAATGCTTAATTCTCTGTTTTCGGTGTTAATATGAAGAATTACTTGATGGGTTCCTCCATGCTAGTCACAAGTCAAAGTGTCCTGTTTGTAAATATTTATTTATTTATTAAAGTTTTGTTTGCATTGGGAAGGATCGTTATCTTCGTGTTTGCAAACACTGAGTGCCGTTTGATAAGTATTTCGGTTTTAGTTTTTGGTTTTGATTTATTGGGTAGAGTTAGAGCGAAAGTATGGAGGATGGAGAGAGGGACGAAAAGGGTGGAAAGGGGGCGGTGGTAGGGAGGATGGAGAAATGGTTATCAAACGGTTCCTAAACAATCCATGAGAATACTGGATTTCTGTGTGTTTATATTGAACAACTGAAAGTACTTGATAAATCTTCAAATTTTCATAAAAATTGCTTGCAGTTGTTTGTGTATACAGTATACATTGTGGAATATTAGCCGATATGCATAGGGTCTTAGCTTCGATTATTAACTCGCATTGATTGTTAATGAATTCTGATTTGTTGGGATCATCGACTTGGTTCAGTTCTATAATGCACCAATCAATGAGTTTCAAGGAAAGATTGTTTTGAAGCCGTTAGCTCCTGAACGGATGTGGAAGTTCATCTATGAGCCTATCCATCAGGATGTTCGTGTTCTTTCGAAAAAGATTCCTCTAACTGGATTTCTAAATCTCCAGGTTTGATTCCGCCCGACCCTACTTTCCTAGACTACCAACGTATATAATTTCGGATCCTTTGCACCATCTCAAGCACACTTCGATTAACACATGCCAATCTTATTAGGAAATTAGGAATTGATAATATTGTAGCTTCAACATCATATAGTCTGCTTGTGTGCCCCCTTGCCTGGACTGAGCCAGTAGTTGTTGTCATTCACACTACAAACTGTTGGAAAAAGCAGGTTGGCGTCGGCCATAATTTTCAAATGAATGCAATTGGATGGAAATGGAAACTTACTACTTGTTTTGGTGGAGATGGTATATCTCGTACTCGGAATAAGACATCGGTTCGCGTGGTTCCTGGTGTGGATTTGCGCTTTGGGTGGAGGGCTGATTATGTACTTCCAGAAATCACAGGGCAAGTTTCCTAGTCTTGTATGGTTGATTAACTTCGTACTGAAGAAATATTACGTGCATGTTGTGTCAACTTTTTCTTTCACTGTGATTAATTGTGGCTCATGGTTAAAACTTTGGATTGATTAGGGCTCTGGGTACTGGTGAACCATGGTTCAACATGAACTCGGGAAAGCTGCAAGCATCGCTAGATAGAGTTGAGACCATTGTAACCTATACTGATAACTACAGATTATACAAGCCTAAAGGCCAGGTACGACAGTTATTGAGGTTAAGCACTTATTAGATGGTAGCTGAAAATGTACTCGTTTTCCTAGCTCTTATTGTTATTCTGTTTGTTCTTATTTTCGTCATTGAACCCATGAACACCGTGCGCAGGGTTTGAAATGTACACCATATTGGGATGTAGAATTTGGATTTGGGATTAATCTGCTACAAAATAGTAAAGTGCATTTTTCTTTTTCATTTTTTCAGCAGGATCAGCAGCAGAGAACTGAAACGGATGTAATTTCTTATTCAAGTCCTTCAGATCCCTTGAAGTCAAGCGACTTTTCGTCACACAAGGACCGTTCTACATGGATCAATGGACCAGAGGATGCTGCAGATTTACACAAGTAAATTGTACATGCTGTTATTTCCAAGAGCCGAGCATGCTTGCAAATCAGATCACGGTTTTATCTACTTTTGCTGTCTAGCATCGTGTAAATGATATTTAAATTTCTACCTAGTACAACTTTCACCTGGTTCTCCATCTTCTTATTGGGTGCTACCACCGATCCCTTTGAATTCGAGTGTTAAAGCAAAGTTTTCAGCCATAATTTATATATGTCCTCAATGCGAAATGAAATTGTGTGTCCTCTGCGATGCCCATGTGTCAAGAAAGAGAGAACTTTCAATATGGTTAATACTTTGCTCCATAAAATAAGGATTCTCTTTTTCGTACAGACAAATTACAGCTTGACATGTGAGCATAAATTTTTTACTTTTATCATTTCTCTACCAGTCACTTCGACAAGAGCATCGACTGTGATTTGGTGTGATTTGGAGGTAACAAGAGGAACAGTGGTCTCTTTGAATTTTGATTTGTTTGGGTTGAGAAAAGCTGGTGGGTGGGATTTGTATTTTGGTGGGTTCTAATTTGTTTTGTTGATCATTACTTTCCTTTTGGAATTTAAATCTCTGAGGAGGGAAAATATGTAACGCCACTCGAGGACGCACATGAGTCACCCCCACCCCATCCCATCCAAAACCTAGCCGTTGCAAACTCAACGGCAAAAATCCTCTCCCACCCCCACCTCCTCTATAAATTCAAAAAGCTTCTTCCCCCACTCCTACACTTGTGAAGCAAAAAACCCATTGCATTCTCTGAAGCAATTCAAATCTTCAAACCCCGAAAATGGCAGCCTCGAAATCGAACCTCCGAAGCTCTTGTTCCTTCCCAAATCTTCTCCTCTCATGTCTGAACTTCACTCTCTTCATCCTCTCCGTCACCTCTCTGGTTCCCACCGTCCTCCTCCGAACGCCCCCAACCTCAATGGGCATGGCATTCCTAATGATTTCCGGCATCTCGATTCTCTCCTCCTTTGTAGGGTTCTACTCTCAGCTCACCCACCTCTGCTTCATAACCCACGTTTCTCTCCTACTCGCCTCGCTGGTCGCGCAGCTGCTCGGCACATTGGCATTGTTCACCAAAGAGCGCAGCACCATGTCGTTGATCAAGTCACCACGGGACCCGAGAGAGGCCAAGCTGTTGGTGAGGTTGGAATGCGGGGTTCTGATGGCGATGCTGATGATGCAGGTGTTGGTGTTGGTGATGAGCTGCGTGGTGCAGAGCTGCTGGGTGAGGGAGTATGAAGGGTTGGAAGCCGAGAGGGAGGCGATGACGAAGAAGAGGAGCCGGCGGATCGCGAAAGTTCAGGAGGAGTCCATGGAAAATGCTGCAAAAATAGCTGAGGTGAAGGCCAAGGAGCTGGATGAGAAGATGAAGAACAAGTATGGGCAATGGGTGAAGACGTCTGAGTTCGAAGGCTAAGGAGGTAATTTCACAGTTGGGGTATAGCAAAGCAAGCATTTGAATGGTGGAGTCTTTGTTGCTTTTCGGTCATTTAGTTTTGGGGTCACTAGGGTTTATGTAATGTAAAGCTTATGACTTGTGAGTGTTATTAATTTATGATTTGTGGCCGTTTGTTTACGTACTCTGCTTTTTTTCCTTTAATACGAAAAAAATAGAAGGAAAGAGATAATCGAACTTGAGATCTTAAAATGTTTTAAAAGAGAAGGAAAAACAAGGGTGCTCAGAAACCTAAATATAATCTCACCTAAGTTGTTTTTCTACAATGGGATAATGGATCATAAAAGATTTTGACATGTTTTGAATTGTTTTTGAAAGAGTTAAAAGTGATTTTTGAGCCGTAAAAATATTTTCTCAACTGGGTTAAAATAAAATGCTCATTTTATTTAAAAAGAAATGAATTTAGAAAAAGGGTGATGATAGAGAGATTAAATTTTTAAATTAAATTTACAAATTAAATTATATATCATTAATAAAAGACAGACACGTTAATTAACGTTTGAGTAATAATTAAATACAAAGAAAGAGGAAATGTGAGCAAAAAAAGAAACGAAAACGCCGCCAACCACCTGCAAAATGATCCAACGGCTCACGTTGATCTTAATCATCAAAGGGCCCACAATAATACGACATCCGATGCCTTCTCTTGTAAATATTTTTTTATCTTCCTAAGATAAACGTCGTAAAGCGCCTTGTTGTAAATTCAGGCATCGCTGAGCGCGCCTTAAAAAACAATGCCTTCCACTTCTTCATCCCCCAAAATTCCAAACGCGCCGTAACTGTTACCCAGCAGCGCCACCGCAAACCACCGTGCCTTCCGCCCCGAAGTATCAATCCATCAACCGCCGACGAGCCAAAAGACTGCGCTTTTTGCAACGAGACGCTCCGATTCTTTGCCACTAAGAAATTGAGTAAGCTCACTTTTTCTTTTTCTTCTTTAATCTGAAATTGCATGCGAATTTTTGAGTTTTAATGGCGGAAATTCCTTAGCTTTCTTGATCGGTCGCCGAAACTATGGCGTTTAACTGTAAGGAAGTAGGTGGGAATATCTCGACCGAGTCGACTCAGTCGACAATGGCGACTGTTGCCTTTTTCTCTTCTCTCTCCCCAACAAAAATATAAAATTAAGCCACAAGAAAAAGAAATATTTGTAATTTCTCTGACATTGTGGATAATCGATTGATTAGTGACGTGGGGATAATTATTGACTTAATTAATATTTTTATAATATTCCCAATATTTATATCATTATCCATGTCCGGCTTACAGTGCCCATGTTTACGCTAAAAGTTTCTAAATTTTCTTATTAGTGCACCGCAAATTGCGAAAATATGATTAGGGTAAAGATTTATCCATTAATTATTGGGTAAATCTTGAATTTTTATGTTATAAAAGAGGTCAGGATTTGATCATTTGGTACAAAGAAGGGAAAGAAGAAATGCTGGTAAATTATTTTTTTGGATAATATTTTCTGAATGGTCCTCAATAATTATTTTTCAAGTCCCACCATGAAGTGCATGTTATGCTAATTATCCACTAATTAATCCTAAAAAAATCTTTGGCCAAGATTTTGATTACCATTTTTGTTTTTGTGTATTTTAGGAAATAATTGGTATTGATAGAAAAAATAGACATCAAAAAGAATAAAAGAATGAGGTTGCAAGGGAGGAGAGCTGGCTGCCAGGGATTTCACATGTTCTCTCTCCTGGCAATGATATCAACTTCTTGAAAACATTTAGAGAGTTGCCCCTGGTTTTGTCCACAAACCTGTGTGTTTGCTGCATACCCACTTGTTGCTTCTTTCACCAGATGGTTAGTCACACTGCTTCCAAGCAAAGTTACCGAGATAAACAGGTTATGACCGTCTCTGTTAGGACCACTTTCGAGTTTAGTTTCGAGTGCTGGAGGTCTAGAATCCAAACTTTATCTTGCCCCATCATCATCATGGGAATCCAAATTTCGGGTCCCGTATGATGTGGTAATCACTACATACCAGGAAGTCACATTTTTTTCCATGAATAAATAAATAGACTCAAGCCTACGTGTTGTCATCTTTATCTTATCCACACTATTTGCAGCCCCACACTTGACATCTAGGTAGTTATAACTGGCATTTTATCCGCAGCCATGTTTCTTGAAATTATTTTGCTTTTGTTTTAATAGACAGCTACATCCAGCAGGGATCAAACAAGCGTTTCACATGCTGGGAATTATTGTCACCATCTTTGTGACATAAGACATTTCTTAAGAAGCATCTCCCCCTCGGTGAAAGTCAATTCCAGAGGAAGAACTGTTCTGATGTTGACGATTTCAATTGACAAGGCTGTGCTGTTGAGATTTTCCCATGTCGATTATAGAAGTCATCAAAAGTTTCACAGGATCAATGCCACTTGGTACGTGTGAGTTACAGTTGCATATTTCATTCGTGTTGGATTAGTTCATTTACTTTCAGTTGCATTCTTAAATTCTTATTGTACTGTACGCTGCAAGGTTTTTCTTCCTTGTATGCGGTTGTATCCTGATGTCCTATATGGAATTTTTTTAGTGTTATTTGATCTAGCCACTTATTTTTGTTCCTTATGCACTACTCTTATTAAAGTAAAGGCCTCTCCTTATAGTTAGTTGTTTAGTATATTAGCAGCGCTACGTATCTTTCATTATCTTATTTCATTACCAAATGGACAGGAAAAGGGATTCAAAGTCCTCCCATCCGAGGAAGATGGAAGAGCTGTCAGTAGAGATTCCAACACAAACTATTCCTCACTGTGAACCATCAAAACATCCTGATCTGCAATTTGACCGGCTGCAACCATCAGATGAAGATTTAGATCAAGAGAAAAAGTTGGAATTTGGACAATTTGTTGCACGAGAGGCCGCACTGGATGAAGAATACTGGGTAAGTAATCACTTTCTAGATGATCACATCTTGGCAAAATTTTCCAAGTGTAGGTTATTTGTGCCCACAAATAATATTTGGTTTTTTGGTGCTTTTGGGTTTATGGCAGACAGCAGCATGGTTACGTGCAGAAAGTCACTGGGAGGAGCGAAAAAATGACCGGTGTGTACTGTAGTTCTTTATTACTTTCAGATTTCCCTCTCTGTCTTTCTGTCTGTCTCTGTCTCTTTGCCTTTGGTCTTTGTTAATCGAACTACTCTAACTAACTGAGGAACATAAAGTTCCTATCATAGGTAGGCTGACTAGATGGTCTATACCATCTGAAGTCATCATATAAAGCTTTACATGCAGAGGAATGGTCCTGCCATTTTAAACAAAAGCTGGCAATCAAGGTGAAAGATAAAACAAGGGAATAAGGAAAGGTTCAGAACTTCTAGTTCTGAATCAATCAAAATTTCTAGAGAACTACCCCCATGACTGGATCCTGCCAATGGTGGGTTTCCCTCTGCATGTGCAGTCTTTAGTGGGCTCCAAGCCTCTAGTAATTGTTTTTATCAATCAAATGGACGGTTGGGCACTGCTGATTCTAGCTATGCTTGATTGACACAGATTTGCTGAGAGTAACAAAAGGAAATTTGCAGACCAGGTAGGAAAGATTCATTCGCTTTGCATTCTCTACATGTACACATGGAATGTATGTCTCAAATAAAATTCTGAATTATACATATAATTTTTTTAGGAATTTAATGCTATAAAAAGACGAACAAAGGGGCAGCAGAGGCAGACATGCACATGCATTATCACGGTATGACTATGACATATTTGAATGAGCGTGTTTCTGGTTTATTAGTTTGAACTCAGAAAACCCTTCTTTGCATTAAGGCATGTTATATTTAGCTAAAGTACCCAATCAATAAAAATATACCATTGACGGTGACTGTTTGCTTTCGAATTGTCAGGTGAAGAAGGACACAAAGAATGTGAAACGTACTGTTGTAAAAAGTGTAGTTGGAACACTTGATTTGAGCATTCGGTACTTGTTGGATGGAGAGACCTTTCCAGGGGTACAAGCTTCTTGTTTAAAACTTAAAACCTACACTGCATGTGTGTCTACCAGTTGGTCCAGTTTATTGGCTTTGCTGAACTGACAATTAAATTAATTTCTGTTGCAGGAACGGGCAAACGCTCCTCTCTTTTGCAGTATCAACAGGACACTGTCAAGTAAATATGGTTATATTTCAAACTTATGTGTGGCCAAAGCAGCACGACGCCAGGGTATTGCCAGCAATATGTTACAGTTTGCTATTAGATCCGCAATGTTAAATGGTAGGATGAAATACTGCATGAAATACTGCATGAACCATTCTCTGGGATTATAGAAATGTCTGACTAGGGCGCACTTGAATTCCTCTTCTGAGTCTTCTCATTCCCTTTCTTTTTCTGTTTAAATGTAGCTGATGTCGAACAGATATATGTGCATGTGCATAAAAAGAACAAACCCGCGCAGGAACTGTACCATAAGCTGGGCTTTGAGGTATTATCGTAGTTGTGCATTTGTAGTTTGCAGTTATAGCATATCTTTGATTTAGACGAGCGCTAATGCCACTTTTTCATTATTCCCAGATCATCGAAAGGGCGAGCTCTCAATTATCTGAGGAGCAAACCTATTTGCTTTGTTTCAAGGCCTAAAAGCTGATTCAACAGAAATTCATGAATTGTATTTCATTCTTTAGGAGATTCAGAAGAAAATTATAGTAGAAGAATACTCATGTGTACATGTAACATGAAGTTGGGTCAAAATCCGAAAATTTTACTTCCCGTACAAAGTCATGGTGTCAGAGTCCCTGCAAAGGTTCTTGGTATATAATGTACTTCCTTGCTCAACAAACGTTGTCAATGAAAAATGATATTCAGTAGAGTTTACTTCTTTGTCCAACAAATGTTGTGAATGAGAGATGATCTCTCTCTCTCTCTCTCTCTCTCTCTCTCTCTCTCTCATTATTTTCGCACACCGTTTCTTACCTCCTGAACAAAAGGTGAAAAAAGATGTGCAGAAATCGCTTCCATAAGCTTAACAAGTCGTTATAAAACAAATAATATGTCCCGCACATAATTACACAAAGTCCTAAAGTTTTATATAGAACATCTGCAGCATGCTATAGGTTTATCTAATGCAGAATCTGCCTTTCATCACTGATCAGCACGCATAAAAACACAGCCAAAACAAGTTCACACATCTTTTCTTCCATCTGTCCTTCGGATTACCTAAGTTTTTTAGGGCGAAAGATACTCGGTCCAAACGTGGATCGGACCATTTGGATAATCAAGGGAAGCTGCAGCAGGGCAAAAAGAGTCGCCGGAATACTTGCCAGCAAGGTGATTGGGACGGAAACCCAGTTGAATCTCTTGCTGAGCGCAATCGAAAGTGTTGCACCAAATGCCACCATCATCGCGGCTATAGCAAAGAAGAGAGTGGCCAAACCTATTATCAACCTCTTTGGTAGTGACTCTAGGAAATCTTTTTCAGCATAACGCTCGGTTAGGATTGATAGAAACATCAAAAGTGAAGTTACCGAAGAAAATAGAGCTAATGTATCCGAAACAACAAATACCAAGAATATGACTGACTTCTTCTGTAACAACATTGGAGCTCCTTCGTTGTCGTTACCTCCAGGTACTGTAAAAGCAGCCGCAAACACAACTGTGGCAACGAGAGTTGATACGAGCATGCAAGAATTTGACGTATCCTTTAGCCATTTCTCTCTGCTCTCGGCCAATAATTTGTGTTCCTTGGTGAATAACTCTCGAGCAGATTCTCCGTTTAGGTTCGGGCCCTCCTTATAATAGGGGTGAACTAGTTTCTCCACCTCCTAAATATACAGAATAAAAGAATTATTAAGAATGTGAAAATGTGTGTATACTAACAATTCAGAAATTTTCTGAGTAAACACCTTGAACCACTGCAGTTCTCTCTGCATTTGTAGAGCTGCACCGGAAATTGATGAGAGTTGCGGAAGAGGAGCCAACTTTGCTGCCAGATGCAAGATGGAACCCCCGATTCAAGTAGTTTAGCAGCCATTAATTTACATCGTGCAGTCTTATCATACACAGTACGAAAAAGATGTTCATGTCGAAGTTCAATAGCCAAGTTGAGTAACAAATATTGCTTGCGGTGGCGAACCCATATTAGATCTGGAAAAGATTCTACGAGCATACTTATAATTTCAACTATGCCATTTACAGTGGCTTTGTGTATGATATCTGAATTCAAAAGATAATTGGACCGCCAAGAAGTATGCCTCCGTGAAAGTTGTGAGCAAATACGTTTTACTAGTTCAACTGCACAGTGATGTCTAAGTTTTGCATCTTGGAGTTGCGTGAAACTTGCTGGTGCTGCAAGTTAAAAATGTGAAAGATGCCGAGTGAAAAGCATACAGCATGAAGAACTGCATCAGAGAAGCAAATTACACAAGAGATCATACCTATTCGTTTAATAGCTCCAAAAAGTACTCTTCTTAACCCATGAAGAACTGAAACAGAGAACAAAATTACACAAGAAGTGTCAAATATTGCAGATTGATACCAGACAATTCCTTTCGGAGTTACGTAGCCGGTTTCACCTCTAATTGATCATTAAAAGTTTAAAACCATGAAGTTGATTGGCAAAACCCTTTTCTTAAGAAATACACTAAGTTTGATACTTTTACTTCAATCGACAGTACAACTAATTATATCTATTTCACTGCAACCCCTATTTTTCCTTTCTTTTATCCTTCTAAAAGATGATACTCAAGATAGAAACTTGTTTGATATCATCAAAGGTTGCGCAACTACAGAGATAAATCTCATAATCGACATTTTCTTTTCTCGCATATGATAAAAAGCTGAGAATAATTAATACAGAATTTGCAAATCCTGACCTCCATACTGTTCTGGTGTTGCCATTGTTTGAAGGTTTTGGACGCTTCCATGGCGAGCCGCATAGGTTCTCACTGACTGTGGTGGTATAGTGTCCACTTCAATGGGGAGAACTGAAACCAAAAGTGAAAATAATAAGCAGCCACTTAAAAATCAGTACAAAAAAACAAATTGAACAAGTGAATGGGAAGTTGTTAAAGTCGAAAAATGAGACGAGGCTCTTAACATGAGTAAATGCAGCTTTCCCAAAATCCAAACCTGCTGCCACTAAGGAAGTTTGATTGATTCCTTGCCAAAACATACAAAGCAGTACAATCTTCTTTATCTTTAGCAATGGCCAACTCAGGATATTTATTAAGCACATACAGTGAAATTTCTGTTGCAGAAAATTATAAATCAATCAAATTATAATGATAGGGATAGCGAAAAGGAACGATGTTGTTCCACATTGTGCACAAGAGTGGTTTTTACCATGGAAACCTGAGGCAATAAGCATATTGACTAGATTAGCAGCACAGTGGCCAGTAAAAGGATGACCAGGCTCCTCATTTGTAGTTACCAACAAAAAGTACCACACCAACTCCTTATTCTCAGAAGCGAAAGTGGCAGCTAGGAGCAGCGGAGTTCTTCCGTCGGCATCTACGCATTGTGCCAACTTTAGATTTTCCATCAACAAAGCCTTGGCAGACCTCAGACTTCCACCTATTGCAGCATAGTGAAGTGGTGTGAATCCCATTTCATCCTGCATTTCGAGGACATCCCTAGGAACGCGTTTCACTAATTTCTCTACGAATTCGGAGTGCCCTTCGCTTGCAGCAACATGTAGTGCAGTCATTGATAAATTCGAGATACTAGCTTTCGCAGCATGAGGATCATTGTCCAGAAACTTGCTAGCCTCTTCCCAATTGCCACTGGACGCAGCACGGTAGAGTGGCAGGTAGTAATCCAAGTTCACTTTTTTCCACCATATTTACATGAATCATTTACTGGGTTCAGTTAAAAACCCTCACCCCACATAAAAGATGATATCTTTAAGTGCGATTAATGCAATAGAAGTAAAATCACAACATGGGTGATTAACAGCTGCACAATACAGTGATAGGTAGCAATCCAAGTTCACTTTTTTTCCACCATATTTACATAAACCACTTACTGGGTTCAGTAAAAAAACAAAAGAGATTTTTGTGTGATTTGCTTATTATACATGTAGTAAAGTCAAATAAAAACATGGGTAATTAACTGGGTTCAGTAAAAAAACAAAAGAGATTTTTGTGTGATTTGCTTATTATACATGCAGTAAAGTAAAATAAAAACATGGGTAATTAGCAAATTAGCAGTAGCACGGTACAGTGGTAGGTAGTACTAGTAATCCAAGTTCACATTTTCCCACCATAAGCATTTCTGGGTTCAGTTAAAAATCGTCAACCCCCAAAAAAATGACATCTTTTAGTATTAATGAGTGTTATACATGCAGTAAAAGTATAATCCAAAACCAAAACATAGGTAATTAGCAGCTTACCTTCTTCACTATCATTGACATACTCGGTAGGAACAGACCCAGTTTGGTTTCCACCAGTTGTGAGATAATGACTAGTGGTAGTGTGATTCCCCTCGACATCGAGTGCCAATTCTGGAATTCTACTGTTTGGGACTGCCATTGATTCGGTGTTGTTTGTGTGTTATTTTTTCTGCTGCAAATTCTCGTCTGGTTCTGCGAGGACCCTAAATATTAGAGGAAGGATGCTTTGCTTGACTTGGTCTTCCCGTAAAGACATTCCCCTATTTCCTTCTTTTCTGTTTTACTGCTTTCTTCTTTTTCTTTCCGGACTCGTCTCTTTTGGGGTTTTAATTATTCCAGAAAAAACAGGATGACCAAGCGATTAAGCAAGCCTTGATTCCTAGAGTATCGGAGACTCTGATAGTCATTAGATTATGAGATGAGACTGCAAAATCCAATATGCATGCAAGGTTGCTTCCTACTTGTTTCCTTATTACTGCCGCAAAATTCCGCACTTTTTTATTCTGTTGCAAAACCTAGGATACCCTTGGGTTAAAAAGAAAATTTAGATTTCAACTCAGCAACATGTTTTCTGCTTATTAAAAAATAAATTTAAGATTCTTAAAATAACTTTAAAAAAAAATTATGTAAATTATCTTAATTTAATTTTATTAACATTTTAACTAAAAAATATTTAGGTTCTAATAAATATTGAAAAGTCACTAAATTGACATCATGAAACTCGTGGAACACTATGAAAGAATATGAAACACATAAAATATTTTTTTTTAATTATTTTAACCATTGTATATAAATTTTGACCGTTCTCTTTCTTCATTATTAAATTTGATCATATTAAATCTCAACCGTTGGATTCAGTGAATTTATAAATATAAAACTAAAATAAAGTTTCACATATATGGTAGACCAACTCACTAACTTGGGGAAATTTTGGGTTAAATTTGCCACAAAAATAAGTTTTTTGGTTAAAACTCATATTTAGTTCAAGAATTGGAGCAAGTTAAGGTAAATTTAAAACTTAAAATTTGAGTTTTACTTCTCGAGTAGCTCTAAATACTAAAGGAAGGATGCTTTGCTTGACTTGGTCTTCCCGTAAAGAACATGGAAAATGGAAATGTATGTTCTTTCACCTTTTTCTTTCTTTTCTATTTTTACTGCTTTTTTTTCTTTTCCGGACTCGTCTCTTTTGGGGTTTTAATTATTCCAGAAAAAAACATAATGACCAGGCGATTAAGCAAGCCTTGATTCCCATTAGAATTGTTGAAAATGGAAACCAGGTGAGTCAGCGTATCTGAGACTCTGACAGTCGTTAGATTATGAGATTAGACTGCAAAATCCAACAGCATGCAAGGCGGCTTCCTACTTGTTTCCTTATTACTGCCGCGAAATTTCTGCACTCACTTTTTATTTTGTTGCAAAACCTATGGTTATTTTCAATTCTTGGGTTAAAAGAAAATTTGCATTTTAACCAAAGACATGTTTTTTA